AACCACGGGTTGCTACAGGCGACGACCCTGTCAAAGCGCGTCTCTACCTCTTCCCGTCCTTCGAAACACCTGCATACGAATCGATCTACACGACGTCAGACCGAGGTGCAGATGTCACTGGTGGGAGGACAGAGTTCATTGGCCGATGCATGGTAGAACATTACAGTGGGCGGTGGGACCTCTTCAAAGAAACACAGTAAAGTTATATGCATGCGATTAACATTAGATATACAACAAAGAAATTGAGCCGGCCCTTTGAGCCCCCCTCACACCAAAACGCCGTGGATATCATGCAGTGCCCATAGTCATTCAGTCGTTAATATTTCTGTGTTGGTTCAGCTCACGAGGCCCTGGTCTCCCGCAGAGAGAGGATGTAGGGCAGATCAGTCGAGTCCGTCCGCGTTGCAAGTCTAATGACGGAGCCCGAGGCGGAACTTCCTGATGCCCTCGACCGTAAACTGACACTAGACGACGAATGATTGGGACCATACGCCGGCCGAGTCTGAGCGAAGCTATTCATGCTGGAGGATCTCGATATGGCTCCTCTTAGTGTACCCAGCGGGGTAGCCGGCGCAGTGCGATATTGAGCCCACGTATTTGCAGAGGAGTTGCGCGCGTTGACGGTCGGCGCTCTCCCATTATATGAGCCTTGTGTGCTCTGTGTCGCAGACCGGGATAAGCTGCGTGGTGTGGTAGGATTTGTGGCCATGGGCGCATCATTGTCGATGTCGCTTTCTGAGCCTTCGCTGGGCTCGTCCAGGGGGCCAAGAACTGCCGGATCTAGCGGTCGCATACCGCGCAGTATCGCAGCGAACAAATGCATCAATTCGCGAAATTGGGCGTTCGAGATAGCCCGCGTAGAGAAGCGCGCATGTTCGTAGGTGGAGAGGAAATCGGCGGTCGTCGCATTAAGCGAAATTACCCCCAGCTCAGCAAGGTGACCAAGGTAGTCGCGCAAACTCATGGGCAACGGGCGCTGCAGCAAGGCAACCGCATCGGCATCGAGCATCGGTGGTTGACTGAAAGAGGTCGGATCGGGAGGCGCCAGTGTCAGGGCCTTTGCTTCGATGAGGTTCGGGAGCTCGGAGAGGACGGTGCTGTACTGTAGATCCGGGAGGTCTAGTGAGTTGGGTGATGACCAGCCGTAGTGTTCGATTTCGCCCCAAACCGGCCGTCGAGGAGGCAGCGCAATACCAGTCTCCTTTTCTGTTGTTGCCGGCTTTTTCAAGGTCGGTAGCTGAAAGCGTTTCCTTGCCGCGCTACCGCCAGAATTCTGCTTTTCGACCAGTACCTCCTCCATATCGCCACCCAGCAAATTCGTCTCAACGCGCGGCCTTGCGTCATAGGCAATGGCTGCGCTGCGCTTCAGGTCGGCTGTGATCATTTCGTGAACCTTCTTGTTCACGTCGCCCTTCTCGATAGGAACCCATGGCTTCGGGATTGATGCGAGGATCGTCTTGTTGAGATACAGTCGCGTCGCATAGATGAAGGATACGATTAAAGTGGTGAGGACCAGAGCGGCGGCAATGATCCATATGTTATATGGCTGGTTGTTCGAATAGGCCTGGTAGATGGTGTCGCCGGGGGTGACGAGGAGGAGAAGGGCGAGGAGGAAGCATAGGACGAAGTAAAAACTTCCGTAGATAAAACGGAATATCGCTCGTGGGGAGAACATCGGGGGCGATTCGAAATGGTTTCCCAGCGTTGAGGATTCAACCCGGGAAGCGACGAGAATGTTGGTTGAGGATCATGGACCGACGGGCCAGTGCATGAGGTAATGGAGCAAACTGGAAAAGCATGGCTGGGCGGAAGAAAAAGCCTATGCGACGAGGTAGAATGTAGCTGCAGCTAGGCTAAGAAGAACAAGTGTGAAGTCTAGACATTACATAGGAGAGAAAAGAGCATAGTACGGTGGAGGGAGAGAATAGGTTGGTGAATATGTAAGTAGACAAGAAAAAGGTGGAGGTTGCGCACGCAGATGCGTGAAGGTGACGACGAAGAAGATGACGGACGGGGGAAGCGAGAGGTTGGTTGGGGGGCTTTCATTTTGTTTTAGCAGTGCCTTCCCGGCCACAAAGCAACAAAGCTCAGGTGGGGGTTCCTCCATGCGGACCCCTGCTGTTTTTAGGTAGGCTTTCTATGCTCTAATCCAGAATCCGGTTTAGCGGCACCAGCGGGAAGGCGGCAACGGGCACTAACTTTTCAACATTCCAGGCGCTCGAAGACAGATGCACAATAGGATGGGACGGACGGAATGGGAAGAGAGGGGAGTCTTCGGAATGGAGGAACCTATTTTTTACCTGCCGTGACGCCGCGTCGGCCTTGGGAACGGCATAAGCCCCATGACTAAGAAAAGGTAGCGTCTGCTGTCTTACACGTGCGCCAGTGCCCAGTCGTGGGCATCCAATCGTCTCGTATCATTGCTCCCAACTAGCTCAAACCGATGAACTGACGCAGGCAAGGCAGGTTTGTGCGCCTGACTTTACATGTGATGAGACTGTCAGTCAACCCTTCTGTTAATAAAACCATGATTGTGTTGCAATGTTTTACTGCCTCGTGAATTCTAACTATGATACACGTCGTTATGCCGTTATGCGTGCCTGTTTTGCCTACCAAACGCCCCTCACAATTTACGGTTATACCGTGACACCACATATGCCAAAACCTGTAACTAGCGGGCTTGCTGCATCTCGGGTCCTTGGGATCTGACATCACTCGTGGGAAGTACCTGCTGGGCTGCCGCCTCCTTGGCCAGTCTGATATCCGTGCGAGTCAACCTCAAGTCGCTGCTGTATCGTTCAAACTCCGCAATCACTTGAGCCAAGCCCGTCTTCAAGGCTGCAATCACTGCTTCCACCTCGGGCGCAGTTCTATCCTTCTCGATATCGGTCCAGTGAACGGGAAAGCTGTCCTTGAATGCCTCAATCTTGGTGATGACGGTTGTAAAGGTGCGGATGATGGTAGGAACATCCTTTTGTACCCTGCCGTAATTATCATCATTGAGACTGTGAACAGCCAACAAGCTGAGCACATCAACAGCGTTGACGTACTGGCTCAGTTCTGAGTACGGCGTTCCGAGGATAACGGCGGTGAGGCGGTTGCGGAACTCTTGGCGGAATATCCAGCCAACATACTCGTTGCCAATAACCTTCAGAGCCCATGTCTGGAACTGGTTCATCAGTTGAGGAGAAGACAGCGCCTCTTGCTGCTCCTTGCTCAGAACCTTGTCACGGGCCCCGCGCAGCGTCTTCTTCGCGATAGGGCTCAGCTGCGACACTGGTGAATGGCCGGGGTGGCTTCCCACCTGGGTGAGGGCCTTTTCCAGCTCGCCGCGCATCGTCTTGTTCGCGGGCTTGCTAGTGAAGATAGGGTCTTCCTTCAATGGCGCTGAAGACCGAGCTCGGACTTCCGCAGTTGGCGCTGGGGCGGCCGGCACAACCGCGGGCTTTCCGTACTGATCAATTCTTTGTTCAATATTCTTGATGGTAGTCAGGCAGTAAACGAATATCTGAGACCACGTAGAACCATCTTTACGGTCGATATCCATGAAGATGGCCTTGCGTCTGCCTTCTTCGTTGCGAGCAATGTATGCCAATTCCCAGAGGGCAAAGCACTGTCACTGTTAGCTTGAGGTTCGGTGTATGCTGCCTGGTTGTACACTTACCCGAACGGAGTCCTTCTTGCTCTTAAGTCCATTCAGAAGACTGCCGTTTGGATCCTTGGATTCACTCGTGAGAGGCTTGCCGTTCTTGAGAGGCGCCTTGACCATGAACGTCGAAAACGCATGGTTGGCTGTCTTCCAGATAGCGGTGATCAGAAAGCCAGCAACGGCGCATCGGTACATCAAGTAGATGTCTCCGGGCCACTGAGGCGGAAGCATGTTGGTCTTCGGAAGGTTGTAGAAGGGTCGCAAGAAGAACAAAGCCCAGCCCCAAAAGAACGATCGCAATGCCATGAAGTATACCACTCCGGCGACAATAGTGATGCTGATACTTCTGACGCCAGACTGGATAAGGATTGCAGGGACTTCGCCCAAGACCTTATTCAGCGAAGCATCCCCAGAAACCTTGACTTCGCCTCCCTCGGACCGCGCGACATCGATGATGAGCTTGTCTTGGTCTTGGTAGAAGTGGAAAATCGACTGAACAGCGGCGCTGACGGCCATGTAGCAGAAGAAGATCAACGTTCTCTCGTTCACGCGGGCGCGGTCCCCACTATAGTATGTGACCCATCCCAAGTTGGCGCTCTCCGGCAGGGCCCAGAGGTAAACATGACTGAATAGCGCGCTCGAGAAGCCGTAGAAGAGGAAAGCCTCGAGAGTATGAATGCTAAAGAAGAATTGCGCGAACGCGTGGAAGGTCGAATTGGAGGCGCGGGCGCCGACGTGGTACTGTGCAATGCGCAGGATCAAGATCGAGAGACCGCAGGTGAAGAGGAACAGTGTTCGAAAGCCCGCGGGGCCAATGGGGAACCAAGACCAAAAGTCTACGAGGGGCTTGTTAGTTGCAAAGCTTTGCAAGCTTGCATCTTCAATGTTCATCACTCACAAGAGCTCCAACCCGAGAGGAGGATGGCTTGCAAATAAGAAATAGCAAGCAGAATAGTAGCGGTAGAGGAAAATCGCCTGTGCAGCGCAGGCTGCAGAAAGTCCTTATACGGAGCCCTTCTGACTGTTGCCGGTGCCATGCTGAAGGTGCATGGTCATCGAGACCGAATGTTTGGGAGGGTGAGGTTTGGCGAGGCTGCACTGGGACTTGTGCCGTGGCCAGGATCTGGAAGTAAATAATGTAAAAATCTCCAGTACAACAACATGCAGCTCCTGCTTGAGCTTGCTTGAGGTCCAGGGGACCCGCCCTGCACGCGGACTGAGCCACACGTGTCACGTGGAGATAACACAATCAGGCACCACTATTGCGAACAGAAGCTGATTGGACGGAAGGTGGCGCCCTTACGTAGTGTTCCAGCCACAGCCGACGACGACATGCAGGTTCCTGACCATCATTACGAGTCTATCGTCCGCAGACATCCTACCTGATACTTACTGGCCTAATAAACACATCAGTGAATCAAAACGGCGCCGTTTCTTTAGTCCTCTTCATTTGTGAATACTTTGCCCTCGAAATTGCAATCATGTCGTACGACCAGTTATCTTCGCTCGAAGCCGGCCGATCGGGTCGTCAAGGCGGATACACCGATGATCCCGAGTTCAAGCAGCTTCAGTCCCAGTTGACCAACAAGATCTTCAACCTGCGGCGCAACATCCAGCAGCTGACTACTGATGTTAACATTCTCGGAACGAAGCGCGATACTCCCCGTGTCAGAGAACGAGTTCACGACCACCTCGAGAAGACCCGCGACCTGTGCAAGGAGATTGGAGATGGCGTCAAGAAGCTCCAGACGTGGGACGATCTGACGGTTCGTACTCTACAGAATACTTGCGCAAAGTTGTATACTAATCAACCGTGTGCATAGAAGCAACAAAAGTACGACCAGTCCAGAATCTCAACCGACTTCCAGAACGTCCTGCAAGAGTTCCAGGACATCCAGCGCAAAGCACTCGAGAAACAACGAGCGTCCGTCACAGCTGCGCGCGCAGCGACCGAAGGCGAGGGAGCTGATGCGGCGGCTGGATCCGAGGAGCGTCTCGAGCTTCAGCAGCAGCAGGAGGTCAGCCGCCTGGCATCACAGGACGAAGTGGACTTCCAGGAAGCGCTCATTGTCGAGCGTGAAGAGGAGATCCGAAATATTGAGCAGGGTGTCGGCGATCTCAATGTATTGTTCAGGCAGGTGGCTCAGATCGTGACCGAGCAAGGCGAGCAGCTTACTTCCATCGCGGATAACGTGGAAGATGTGCGGGACGATACCCGGGGCGCTCAGATAGAGCTCCGCCAAGCGGCGAGACACCAGAAGGCGGCTCGCAACAAGGGGTGTTGTCTGATGCTCATCCTGGCAGTCATCCTCACCATTATCATTCTCGCAATTGTATTGGACTAGCACGGCATGGGAGGTATTGGGGGTTTCTTTATTTGATTGCTGTTTCTACAATGGCGTTTTGGTGGCGTTTCGCGAATATTGTACATCAGGCGCCCAAGTACAGCTAAGGATACAATCTGGGACAGCGTGTCTTCTTTCTCTATCATTGCCATGGCTTGTCTCCCCAAGACTACACGCCTCGCAAGTGCAAGCGCTCGTAATGAGGGCTTGGCTTCCAAGGGTCGTGTTTGCCGCGTACTTTATCCATAATCTTGACAGAGATCTGGGAGAAGATCATTGAAGAAATCCAGTAGACAAATATGCCTGCTGGCAAGTTGACACAAAGTGCGGGAATCAAGATTGCCGTGAGAAGTAGACCTCTTTGGAGGCGAATTCGCCATCTCAGACCCGGAGGCACATTCTGCTCAGCCGTTGAAAGGTTGAATACATACTTCCTCATTTCGCCTTTAGGCATCGTTAACCAGCCCAGAGTGCCCATCAGCATCGCAGGCAACAATATTGTTGGATCGGCTACCGTGAGGTCGGTAAACCATAGCACGCCACCATTTGCCATGCCTTCCGCAACATAGCTTAGTGAATCCAGGTTGCTAGATACAGCATCGGCAGACGAAGAAGCTGCTGTTGATGCTTGTTCCGACACGGAAGTCGAGGCGACGCCGGCTGAAGCCTCCTGATTCTTGTAGTTGCCAGTGAGCAAGGATAGGATTCCGCTGTTTGCACCACAAAGACGCCTCAGAGATTCAGACATGAGATACCATACGGGCAGGCCGAGTGCTGGGGCCCAAGTCTTCCAATTCTGCGCCCCTAGCTCTTTGAGCATTCGTTTCCGGACCTTGGCTAGTTGCATGGCCCTTGAGAGACGGGTCCCACGAATTTCGCGACTCCAGGCGGCCATAAATGGTGCGATTTCTCCCTGTCTTTCAACGACGCGTCTGGCATAGTATTGAAGCGGCGCTCTGCACAGAGAGATGAGCAAGGCCGAGAACACGATAGTGCCTGTCCAATTTCCCGTCGCGTTCATCGAGTGCAGCGAAACTACTACTTGCGAAGTAGCTTCGACGCTGCTGTTGACGAGCCCGCCTAGACTAAAGTCTCTGGCACCGATTGCTCGTTGAGGTGATCGTGCCGTCCTCGAGACAAGGTGTGGGCGAAGAGAGGCAGTGAGTGGCCTTGCTGATGAGAAACCGATGGATTGGCGCAGGCCGGGTGTGATGGCGCAACGCGCCGCTCTCAGGGAAGCCATGATGAGATGCTTATATGTTCATCAGAGGGCATGAGAAGGTAAACGTTGTTGAAATCCTTGCGGCGCAAAATAGTGGCCCGTGAGACAAATGGTGTGGGCTGGTAAAGGGTCGTCAAAGAGCTGAGGCTAGTTTTTGTCAATACGTCAGTCGATCATGAGAATATGAGTTGACGTTAGACGTTCAGTGGTCAATTGAGAGCAGCACCAACGGGCTGGTGCACGGACCATTTTGAGTCAACGGGCGCGGCTTGAGCGGATCTACAGCTCGCCGGGGCCGGAAAAGACCTGGACCCTTTAGAGGTGGGGGTCGACTGCCCACTGTATTCGTACCGCTGCAGCTTCCCCCGCCCCATTTTCTAGCTTGCAGTACAACCTGGCCAGTTTGCGAGTCCCCTACCTCACCATAGCATCCCACGACGTCAACGGGCAATGCTGAAGCTGGACTTGACCGACGCCCCCTTCGGCTTCGACTCGCCCTTCTTTTTCAACCTCGACACCACCACCGGTTCCCAAGTTTGGCGAAGCAAAACCAAATCCTAATCCTACGAATTCTGCGATTCCCTCACCCCCGATGCCCGAAACCTGCTCAGCGCCGTCTGGGCAGACGCCCTTCTCTTTTGGCCTCGATCCCTGGACCCTAGCCTACGTCGTTGTGCCGATAATCGCTTTTACTCCGATCGCGAGCTACATCATGTTTCCTCTGCTGATGAAAGGCATTGGTTCCTTGCTGGGATGGTACCTACGAAAAAAGACAGAGGGAAGGAGAGCACAGCTTCTGGAGCTCAAGACTGCTGAGCAACAGTCATTCAAGAACACCCAAAAGAGCTCCAGCAGTGGGAAGAATAATGTGCAGGCACAAGCTTCCGGGAGCTCCGAAAAGAAGGACTCACAATGGATCGGGGTTGTTGGTTTCTTCCACCCTTTCTGGTATGTCGAACGAGTGCGAAAGTCGCCAAGAGGACAGTCACTAATAGCACTCAGCAACGCTGGTGGAGGAGGAGAGCGAGTCCTTTGGGCTGCGATCAAGACCACTCAGGAGAGATACCCTAATGCACTCTGTGTTGTGTACACTGGCGATCATGAAGTGAACAAGCAGGCCATGCTCGAGCGCGTCAAGGTTTGTCTCCCACCATAGAACCCCTCTTTCCTCATACTAACGACATGTCTCAGACCCGGTTCAATATCGACCTGCATCCCCCGACCATCAACTTCCTCTACGTCAGCACAAGACACCTCGTTCTGGCCTCGACATGGCCTCACTTCACCCTCCTTGGACAATCGATTGGATCTGTAGTGTTGGCATGGGATGCCTTCCAGCTTCTTGTCCCTGACATCTTCATTGATACTATGGGCTATGCCTTCTCCCTGGGTTTGTGCAAGTTGCTCTTCCGCAGAGTTCCTACTTGTGCCTATGTTCACTACCCGACAATTTCGACTGATATGCTAGAATCACTGGACCCCAAGGCCGAGACTGGAAGCCAAGGCGTCAACGCCGGCAAAGGCGTTGGTATCCGAGGCAAGGTCAAGAAATTCTACTGGAAGATGTTTGCGGCCTTGTACTCCCGGGTAGGATCTACTGTTGACATTGTCATGACAAACTCGACCTGGACCCAAGGTCATGTCCAGAAACTCTGGGGCCCCTACCGCCAGGCTAAGGGAAGAAACAACCCTATCGCTGTCAACTTTCCACCTTGCGCTGTCGAGGAGCTCGAAGAGGCAGTAGAGGTATCCGAGGCCAGTGAGCGGAAGCGAGAGCAGGCTTTGGTCTACATTGCCCAGTTCCGCCCCGAGAAGAACCATACCCTGGTCATTCAAGCTTTCGCAGACTTCCTAAACACCAAGTCCGAAGCCGCCAAGGAGGCGAAGTTGGTCCTCATTGGTAGTGTCAGAGACGACCACGACTCCAAGCGGGTGTATACGTTGCGCCTCTTGGTGAATGAGCTCGGCATCAAAGACCGTGTCGAGTTCCACCTGGACGCTTCGTGGCCCGAGATTCTGGACTGGCTGCAGAGGGCTTCTGTCGGTGTCAACGGCATGTGGAACGAGCACTTTGGCATTGGTGTCGTTGAGTACCAAGCCGCCGGTCTGATTTCCGTTGTCCACGCCAGCGGTGGTCCCAAGCTGGATATCGTCATTGAAATCGACGGCCAGCCCACTGGTGAGTACTGGCCTAGCTTTCTGTGAGATGAAGACTTACCAGCTTATAGGTTTCCACGCTACAAATGTCAAGGAGTTCGCCGAGGGCTACGAAAAGGCCCTCTCTATCAAGGATCCGCTCCCTGTTCGCCTCCGCGCACGCCGGTCGGCCAAGCGCTTCACCGAGAGCGAGTTTGACGAGAAGTGGATCGCCCAGATGGAGAAGTTGGTGGCCATGACGCCGTAGATGCATAGTTGGCTCTTGCTTGTATTTCTACATGTACTTTGATAGACTCGAGGATACCCCTTTCCTTCAGATAACCTCAATAAACCTGGCTTATGTTGCACATAAAATCTCATCATCTAGCGTAAGCGTGATATATCGTCTAAATCGTCTATACCACAAATGCACCACTATTCTTTTGCCGCGGCTCGCTCGCGGCCTCGAACACGCCGTCTTCAAAGATGATGCCCTGCACAGCGCTCCGACCCTCAGGCACCCACGTCACATCATGGCCCTTTTCGAGCATACTGGCGACGGTGTCGTTGTCAAATGCGTACTCAAACGTGACGGTGTTGGGCATAAGCTGGTCGTGCAGGCGGGGCTCGCGGAGAGCCTGCTTCATGGTCTGGCCGTGCTCGAGGACGTGCCAGGTGACCTGGGCCGTGGAGCTGATGATGCGGGAGCCGCCCGCCGCGCCGACGGTGACGTAGAGGGAGCCGTCTGGGTGTTCTACGATGACGGGGGTGATGGAGGAGAGGGGCCGCTTGTTGGCGCGGACGAAGTTTGCGGGGGAGGGTTCGAAGCCGAAGGCGTTGCGGACGCCTGGGATTGAGAAGTCGTTCATTTCGTTGTTGCTAGATTGTTTGTTAGTAGGTGGAATTTACGGTGAGAAGGACGGGTTAGGGGAGGGGGAATCTACAGAATTACACCAGATAACGGGTCCATGATTTGAGCGCCAAAGAGGAGGTTGACAGTCGTGGTCAGGGAGGTGGCCATGCCAGACTTATCCGCCGTGACGATATGCGACGTCCCGAACCCTTCGCTCGAGTACACACCCTGCGGATCATACCGCTCAACCGGCTGCGTCTGGTTATCCAGAATCTTACCGCGGATATCCTTGGCCGTGGCCTCGTCGATGAGGGTATCCTCAAACGGCCCGATGCCTTCCACGAAGTCCGGGTCACCGAGCAGAGACCGGGCGCCGTAGGCGAAGCGCATAGCCTCGTCGAAGCGATGGACGCCGAGCTTGGTGTCGGCGGACTCGGACGGGTCGAACTGCTCCATGATCTTGAGGGTGTTTAGGCAGACGGCGCCGCTGGCGGGGGAGCCGACGGATGTGAGGCGGTGGCCGCGGTAGGTTATAGAGAGGGAGGGACGGGTGACGACCTTGTAGGAGGCGAGGTCTTCTAGGGTGAGAGTGCCGTTCGTGGCGCGGACTGTGGCGATCATGGATTCTGCTATGGGGCCGGAGTAGAAGGCTTCTGGGCCTTCTTCTGCGATCTTGGCGAGGGTGCTGGGTGTTTTGTCAGTTTCTAGTTTCCTGAGAGATGTGTGAGTGTGTGTGAGGCTTACGCTCCGTAACGTTTGCGGTAGATGGTATCACCAAGTTGGAGGAGCGTGCCTGTTCCGTGTTAGTTCACTACGTTCTACTGACCTGCACCCGGAGGATTTCAGAGACTCACCGTTGGGAGCAAACTCCTCAGCCCATACTGGATCCTCAACAAGAAAGTTCCACTGCCCTTTGATAGCGGCGTCCATATATCGCACCAAGTCCGAAGACACTCTGAAGCCTGTAGTCGCCAACCTCGCAGCCGGGGTGACGACACTCTTCCAGGGCAGAGTCTGTCAAGATGGCCAAGTCAGTAAGGAGACCCTCTCGCCTTCTTTCCAAGCTTTTCACTTACACCGTACTTCTTGTGGATGTATTCCAGCCCACGAACCTCGCTCGGCACGCCAACGGCCAGGCCGCCGTAGACACTGCCCGCGATGTTGCCTTGGTACATATCCTGGAACGCAGCCGCCGGCGCAGCCTCTCTAAAGTCCACAGACTCGTAGTTACCCTCGGCGTCTCTGATGACGACGAAGCCGCCGCCGCCGATGCCGGAGTGGTACATGCCTACGGTTCCAACGCAGAACGTCGTACCGACCAGCGCGTCTACGGCGTTTCCCTACGTACGGGTCAGTTCTTGTGTAACCTTACTGAGTGATTACAAGAAGAACGGGAGAGAGATACATACACCTTGCGCAAGTAGATCACGGCCAATCCTACTACATTCGACCGACTCACTTGCAACGGCGCCAGTGTCGCCAGCACGAGGGTTGAAGACGAATTCCGGTATCGCTGCGGCCGAAACCGAGCGGAATTCGGCCAGCAAGAGTAGAGAGGCTGAGTAATGCCATATTGACTTGGGAGATGTCTCTGTTCTCAGTTAGTCTTCCTTCATGATTTTCATAAGATGCTGATCTCTTCTGCTGGATGGGATGAACTCACTCATCTTGGATAGGTGGTTGATTCTAAAGGCCGGGCGGCGGTCTGTGGACTCCAACACCGGACGGTACCTCCGAGACTCAACGTGCACAACGGCCGAGACACCGATAAGAGATAGCGGAAGGGATGACAGAGGGACTCGGGAGGTAAGCAACTCTCAGCGTTGCGTCTCTTATCTACCGCGATAAAGAAGCCTCCTATACCCAACAGATCACCAAGACAAGAGAGAGGGTTGTGAGTAAGCTGGAAGCATTAAACGCCGTAGTCGGGGGAAGCCATGACTTATTACTACTGGGTCCCCGGCGATTGCGACAGACCGAGTCGCTATTACCAACTTGGTCCCAGTCCCAGATCCGGCAGGCACAACTGATAAGCGAGTTCTGGGGTCCAGTGTGGAGTCACTCAGCACCTAAAAGATACCTCAAGGTGTGGTGGCACTTGGTGGGCGAGTGACAATTGAAAGTGTGCCGCATGATAGCAGTCATGCTTGGTGGAGCCCCACACCGCGTTCCAGGGACGCCAATCAGCGACGGGCGAATTAAGTAATTCTCAGCAACCTTCAGACGGCCGACAACTTTTTTTCACAGGTCGCATGTCACAAGCTTCAACTTCAAGTCTTGGACTTTCATACTTTCATCTTACACCAAATTCATGTACTTTGAAGCTGTACTGTGACACGGTACTCTTAGCGGGTCATCTTGTCCCATAGTTGGTGTATTACAACCATTGGCTTGAGGCATTCAATGGGTTTGCCCCTGCGGCTCCTTCCGAGACTCACTTCATCTTCACTACGTCCGGCTATCAACGCCCTTACATTCACCCGGGCCTCAAGCTCGGCCCCGGCAGCAGCTCACCGGCCACTCATTCGCAGAGTCATCATGTCGTCAACAACAGAGGCGCCTCAGGCGGCTGCAGCAGCACCAGCAGCAGCAACAACAGCAGGAGAGTCATCTCACCAAGGTCAGGCACCGGTGCAGGGTCAAAAGAAGTGGCAGAATGGCGGAAACAAGCCCAATGGCAACAAGCGTTCATTCCAGGGCGGCCAAGGAGGCGGAAGGGGCAAGGACAAGCAGCGCAAGTCGAAGCGTGAGAGGAACATCACCGAGGGCTCGTCCGAGGAGGTCTTGGCGTTCGACGTGCAAGCGCTCATCGCATTGCGCAAGGAATCACTCCCCGATACACCGGCACCGACGGCAGGTGAAGAGGTAAAGGACGGGGAACAGAACGGAGAAACGCAGACCGAGACCCAAGCACCCTCAGAAACCCTCCCGGAAACCTTTACCGAAATCGAAGTAGAAGTCCACGCAATCTCCTCAACAGGAGATGGCCTCGGCTTTCAGCTGGGCTCGACCTCGACACAAGTCTACGTCGTCCCCTTCGTCGCACCCGGCGACATCGCAAAGGCAAAGGTCATCAGACACGTCCGCGAGGAGTCCTACTCGGTAGCCGACTTCGTCTCTGTCGTCAAGGCGGGCCCCCTCCGCGACGATGCCCGCGTCAACTGCAAGTACTTTTCCCAGTGCTCCGGCTGCCAGTTCCAGATGCTCGACTACGATACCCAGCTGGTGCACAAGCGCTCCATCGTCGACAAGGCGTACAAGAACTTCTCCAACCTAAACCCGGACCTAGTCCCGTCCATCAGGGACACCATCGGCAGCCCCTTGCAGTACGGATACCGCACCAAGCTCACGCCGCACTTTGACGGCCCTCCCGGCCACCACAAGAGGAATAAGCCCAAGCAGGCGCTGAGCAAGGTTCCCGAGATTGGATTCAACGCCAAGGGCCGCCGTCATGTTCTGGATATTGAGGACTGCCCTATTGGAACTGACGCCGTTCGCCTGGGCATGAAGCGCGAGCGTGAGCGCATCGCCAGGGACTTTGGCAACTTCACAAAGGGCGCCACGATCCTCCTCCGCGAGAGCACGAAACGCTACCCAAAGAAGGTCATCAGCAACGGCAACGCCAACACCACAGCAGCCACGGAAGAAACCACCACGACAGAGGAAGTATCAGCATCAGCATCAGCAAACGAAGAAGAACAACCCCCCGCAGAAACCCCCTCCGACGCAGTCCGCGTCGAGACAGACGCCCACGTAGACATCAAAACCTGCCTCTCCGCCACGGGCGCAATGTCGAGCGAGTACATTGACAACTACCTCTTCACCAACCCCGCAAACTCCTTTTTCCAAAACAACAACTCCATCCTCCCCAAATTCACCCAATACATCCGCGACCACGTCATGCCACCCGCCGGCCCCCACCGCGACCGCATCAAGTACCTCATCGACGCCTACTCCGGCTCCGGCCTCTTCACAATCACCCTCGCCTCCCTCTTCACGGGATCCACGGGCATCGACATCGCAAAGGACTCCATCGAGTGCGCCCGCAAAAACGCCCGCCTCAACAACCTCCCCGAGTCGCAGTGCAACTTCCTCGCCGCCGACGCGCCCCAGCTGTTCAAGCAGGTCACCTACCCGGCCGACGAGACCGTCGTCGTCATCGACCCGCCGCGCAAAGGTTGCGATAACGATTTCCTGAGCCAGTTGTTGGCGTTTGGGCCGAGGAGGGTCGTGTACGTGAGCTGCAACGTTCACACGCAGGCGCGCGACGTGGGCGTGCTGGTGCGCGGGGACGGTGGGGACGGCACAAAGTACGAGATTGAGAGTATCGTGGGCTTCGACTTCTTCCCGCAGACGGGACACGTCGAGGGTGTGGCGGTGTTGAACAGGGTCGAGAAGAGTGCTTGATTAACCTACCTTACATTGATTTGCATTGGGCCGGGTTGGGATCTCATCTAAAGGGAGAGAGAGTTTACAAAAGTTTGTGATACCAGCATTTGGTCTAATAATTCAAAAAAGCAACAGCCGCCAGAGTATGGACGCGGCATGAGACCGTTCTCTCAAACCATATTACCAAGTCTTTTACCGTTTTATTTCGTGATCCTCTTGTTCTGTCTACTCTGGTATGAGGTTCTTCTGTCTGCACACAAAAAAAGGAGACCAGTTCTTTCAGCCCTCCAATGCCCGATTGTCCTCTAGCAGAATCTTCAATGCTTGCACCAAGACCTCAACCACTTCCGCCCGCCGACTCTTCTTAGCGGCCTCCTTGAGCCCTTCCAGACCACCCTCCTCAATAATCTTCTTCCGCGCATTGGCCCCTGGAGCGCCCTCAGCAGCCACCATGTTGTAGATGATGAAGCCGGCGCGGTGCCGCAAGTCCTCATTGTCGTCGGCGCACATGTCGAGTATGACATTGACGCCTCGCTCACGTTCCACAATGGCTTGAACGACGTTCTCGTGGCCAGTGAGAGCCGCTAGAGCACCACCTGCTGCACTGCGCGTGCCCTCGTCCTCGGCGTCCGCCAACGCGAGTAGAATGTGCAAACGGCCTTTTGCTGCGGGGCTGCCGTCGGCATACAATGCCAGACCTTCCACGGCCTGCACGAGATTGCAGATAAGCTCAACGGCGGCCTTTGACACGCGGGGGTTCGAAGAAAGTAGCTGGTCCTCGATCTGTGGCCACGCCACCCTGATAATGGCTCGTCTGGTATCAAGGTCATCGGTCGACGCGAGGTTGGTGAGCGCCATCAGTGCCTCGAACGTCGGAAGAAGGTCGCGGTGCTCCGCAACTGGGTCTGTGGGAATGATGGAGATGAGCGGGCGGATCGCAGAGCTTTGCGGGTTAGAACGACTGCCGCCGAAAACAAGAGCCGGGTTGGTGCTGATGAGAATGCGCGCCAGGGCTTGCGCAGCAGTGCGACGGCCGGCGGCCTCGGACTCTGGGAGCAAAGCCCACGCAGCCAAGAGAAGCTTGACGGCGCCTTGCTGAGCAAGCTTGCCGCGCAAAGATGTCGTAACTGAAAGAGAGTAAATGATAGCGACAGTGAGTGATAGTGACGCGGCCGAACCACCCTTGCTATGGGTTACTAAAACCGGTGTGACCCCGGCCTCGAAAACGCGCCGGCATCGTTCTGCCACATGGTCGTTGTCGTTGAGAGGATCGGGCCCGGCAGACTTTCCGGCAGCGGCGGCGTATGCCTTGAGCTGGTTCATCTTCTTCTCCTCCTCGGATAGGTTGGGCTGGTATCTGGTGAGATTCACCAAGATGCTAAGCGCTCCATACGTCACGGGTGACTTGGCCGGAGCGTCGGCCAACGTCTTGACAAGTTTCTTTAGGAAATCCGCGTTCCCTGCCAGCTTCTCCTTGATGGCGGGCCGGATCGATGCGTAGGCCAGCCCTTCGATAGAATGTTGGTGTCCATGGTCGTCTTCGCTGAGGAGCATGGAGGTGAACCTCGTTGAAAGCTCCTCGATGGTTGTGATTGCAGGTGATATCTTGCCTTGCCCGTCCTCATTCAGCGCCGGCGCCGTGGGCACTGCCTTCGTTCTGAAGTCAGTCAGATCTGTGATTGGACGGCTTCATGTCCGTTTGTTGATGAATACCATACCCTCAATTTCGCCAGGATAACCGCTGCTAAGTTTTGGACCTGTTCCGAGTGCTTGCGCATGGCGACGGAGCCTTCCTTGATGGAATATTCGGGGTCCTGTGACATTTCCTTGGCAATCTCCTCGGGATCCTGGTCGACAACCTCCTCAAGCCACTCAGTGCAATACTTGTTCACTGCGTCACGGCACTGAGAGTTCATGCACGCAGCGTTGAGCATCTCCAAGCAGGCAGTCTCGACCTTGCGGCTCTTCCACTTCCGTCTCATCAACGGGCCAAGGGAGCTCAGGAAGCCCTCGCTGAGGAACAGCTCTGATGTGAGGTCAGGAACGACCGGGAAGGTGGAGGCAGCCACACAAAAGGCGACGATGTAGTCGTCATAAGTGCCCCTCTTGATCTTGTCAAAGAAGAAGTTGGACAGCTTCTTGGCACCATCGTCGCCAGCGGCCTTGAGATAGGCGGACGTGGCGATAACGGCGTGCGCGCGGACAATCTCGGGTTGTCTCATGTCGAGATATGTCAAGATGGTGTCGACGCAATCACCATCGATGAGCTTGCATATCGTGGGGGCACCGGTCTTGGCCTGGATGAGCTGAAGGTCCTCATTCAACAGCTTAGTGAGCTGGTCGAGGTCGCGAATGGTTTCATCATCCTCCTGGCCGCCCTCCATTAATCGCGCAAGAACGAGAAGGGTCTCATCCTCTCTCGGAGGCGCCGTGGTGGGAGCGGAAGCTTGGGTGACTGCGGCCATTGTGGGAGTTGGTCGCTCAGGCTGGAAAGCGGTTGAGCGAGCTGTGATAACGTATACTTTGGTACCACGTCAAGGTGTGTTGTTGAGTGAGTGAGGAACGGACAGACCTGGGACGGACAGAAAAAGCCTAGAACAAAACGGGGCGGAACGGTTGATATAAGTAGGTACCTTGCTGCGATTAGGGCGGCGGCGGCGACAGCGGACTGTGCGATGCGTTGGTCACAAGGTAAGGTAAAAAGGTCCGGCGATGACAGAGGCGTGAGGTGGCCGTGGAGGAGGATTTGGGTAGGGTTGATTGCTAAGATAAGAAATGGCAGACGACAACCCCAAAGAGGTTTCACAAGTGAGACTTGTCACTGGTCAGTGGGTGCGCGTTGATGGGCAGTCACCACAAGTGGCAGTTCAGCAATAAGGTAAGGTGCACAGCGCATGCAGTTACTGGTGCCTATCCGTATCTTAGGTTCCCTACGGGGTTTAAGGTAGGTGGGGTACGTACTCGAGTCGTCGCGATTTCATACGGGACCTCTCTCGGGCTTACCTTGGGTGCCTTATTCAGTACCTACCTATATTGCCGCCAGAGAAGCCCAGCCCGTCCGGGTAAGTTCAAGTACCAAGGAGTAAGAACTGACAATGAAATGGAACCACCGCTGGGCTGTTTCTGTTCAACCGTCAGCTCCTGATACAACGGACGGGCTGACTGTTGCAATCTACGGTGCTCCCATCTTTTTTTTAGGTGCCACGGGTGCCTCTTCTTGGCTATCATTTGTAGCAGACCACACCCCTCACTGTGCACCCAGCCCGCCCTGGCACAAACACTGACGACTGACTTCCAAAGAGACTCGTGTCACTCTGACGAGCCTCAACCATTGGAACCCAACACTTACGCCGCCCGCTCCGCATCGTCGACAGACTGGGTCTCCCCACGTTTCTTGACTTGATAAATAACGAGTGCCGTAGGTGATACGCAAATAGTGAGTGCTTGCCTACCTACGTCATGCTCGAGAGAGGCACATCCCACTAAGGTAGGCATGGAAGGAACAATGAGTCCCCGTTGTAGGGGAGGAGCGGGGCGGGAATGCTTGAATGTAAGGTACTTCACAGATTGGCAAGCACGCAACCACGCAACCTACCTAGGTAAGAAAACGGCAAGGTGCTATTATCCTCGAGCTTACCTCATCAAAATGGAAACAGCTCCCCTCGAGCTGGTGCGCGCCGATCGTCTCTATCACTCAACGCGCCCCCCACGTCAGGAGCACGCCTGAATGGAAGTTGCTGTGACTTCCCCTTCGGAGCCTCTTCCCCGTCGTCCCCGGTCCTGTGCCGTCCAATCAACTTTGGCAGGTTTCCCTGCCGTCCAGTCTGTCGGAGCACAGGCCAATTTGAAGCCCGGGGCACATGGGTTACAGATATTTCTGGATGAAAGCTAGCTTCGTTGCATCACCACACCTCACACAAACCCCTACCTGCGAGACAGAGGAAAAAAAAGAAGAGCAGCTCACCCTGTCTGTTTGTGAATGACACTGCGCCAAGAGACCAATTCTATCCGCTTGGCTTCAAGGGCGTAGGATCGGACTGGATCCGAATCGAACGAGGTCCCTGGATAGTCAATACAACCCACAGGCTTCCAACACCTCTTCGAGCCAAATCGCAGATGCTCCGCCCGTGACACTCTCTCGCGACCAGGCGCCCGTCGCCCTTCGAGGTCATCGTCGACTACCACATCCTCCTCCGCCATGAACGCCGTCGACGCTTCGGACCATTACGAGGTCTCCTCGCACGAGGCCACCCCCTCCCTCCTGTCCATTGTCATCGACACGAACCCTCGAGCCTGGGCCGCTCTCAACGATATCCTCCCACTGTCAAAAGCCATCGCCAACATCCTAGTCTTCGTCAACGCTCACCTCGCTTTCAGCAATGCGAACCAGGTCGCCATCATCGCCTCTCACAGCAACCGTGCCGTATGGCTCTACCCTTCAAAGCCTGGCGCCGCCACAAACGGCAGCGCAAACTCTGAAGATGTCGCAATGACGGGCGTCGACTCCTTTGCGCCGACGCCAAACCAGTCTTCGGCCAACAAGTTTCCTCAGTTCGCCCAGATCGAGGCTGCCGTCATGGCCGCGATGCGCCAGCTGGTCGACGCAACTACCGAGGCCGATCTAGCCTGCACGACGACACAGCTTTCGGGCGCCCTCACCCTCGCCCTCACCCACATCAACAAGACCTCCCTCTCCCTCAACGAGACCAACAAGGCCCCCGACGTGGCCCGCCCGACCTCCTCCGCCCTCAGCCGCCTCCGCGCCCGAATCTTCATCCTCTCCGTCTCCGACTCGGAACCCGTCCAGTACATCTCCACCATGAACGCCGTCTTCGCCGCTGCCCACTCCCAGATCCCTATCGACACCCTCGCCCTCTCCGGCGACGCAACCTTCCTCCAGCAGGCGAGCTATATCACCGACGGCACCTTTATGCAAGCCGCCAGCCCCCGCGGCCTCCTCAGCTACCTCATGTTCGCCTACTCCGCCGACGCAGAGGCTCGCTCCTCTCTCATCCCGCCAACCCATCACACCGTCGACTTCCGCGCAGCCTGCTTCTGCCACGGCCGCGTTGTTGACACGGGCTTCGTCTGCAGCATCTGCCTCAGCATCTTCTGCGACGTGCCCGAGAACTCAGAGTGCCTGACCTGCGGCACCAAGCTCTCTCTAGGCAGCTATGGCGCCAAGCCTGCCGTTATACCGCGAAGGAAAAAGAAGAAGAAGAAGACGGTCCTGGCGAACGGCCATATTAGGGAGGAAACGGGCAGTGCGGCGGGCACCCCCCGTCCAGGATAAGACACATGGCACAAAGCATGGACATCATTTGAGTGATGGTTAATACGGGCTGGTCTTGAGTCAAAAGCAACGCCAGGAGTGCGATATACGTGATTCATAGGCGGCCGGCACTGCACGATATGGCCAACCTGCTGCCCTTATTTTCCAAAGATTCAGGGTGGTCCAACTAGTTACTCGACCCTGATCATACCAAGTGGCGAAATCCATCGCAGACCAAGGGGTGGGACTGCATGGATCTACTTCGTTTCTTGAGGTCCCTCAGAGTCGCACGGAATCTAGCGGATAACGGCCCGTCGTTGCGATTGGATTGAATCGGGCGTTTAGGACATATAATGGCACACTAGAGTTCCCTCTACAGAGAGGGAGGGATTGAAATTCCAAACAATGCTCCATAAACATCTTATTTCTTTGGGAAATCATATGCCTGAAGCATATTTCTTGTTTTCTACCTGAATTACCCTTCAGATGATGATGCTCTAGGAGGAATGCATGCTGCACTAAGAAGGGGTATCACTACCAAGTAAGAATAACTACAACCGCTCCTGGCTCTCAGAGGTCTAGCCGTGTTGATGTTCAACTCTGCGCCATTTGACCACGAAAGTGTGCTGTCTAAACTCACCATCTTTCATTGTGGTCCTCCAACCCCCGGCCAAGCACATCATTGTTCCTGCGTTCATATGCCAAGATCAACTCGTATTCTTCGAGCGCCCCGCGTGACTTGAGCCGATTCTCCAAGACGAGACATGACGCACACGGGCTCCTTGTCGGTACCGCCCATCGAGGCGAGTGCGAAAGAGTCAGTATTGTGGGCAAAGTATAAGTAGTACCCTGTCCGTGTCTTCTTGACTGTCATCACACCAATTGCCCCGACCGAGTTGCAATTCTTGACGCCAGGGTGGCCCATGAAGTCGTTCGTGATGAAGGACTCCATAATAGCATCTTCGTCCCACTCTTCGACGTCTCTGCCGTTTGGTCCACGACGAGTGCTGCCATAGATTCGTTCAGCACACCGTTGAGACGCCATGGTGGTGGCCATGTGCTCTCCCGTACCGCTGGTCACCGCGGCAACACTGACCTTGTCTGGATCTTCGGGATCGCAGGGAACGACAGCAGTACCGATGCCAACCAGAGCAGCGGGGCCTATACGTCCGCGATGCTTCATCCCGATGCCTCCAGAGGATGAACCCGCCGCAATGTTCCCTCTTTCGTCGATAGCTATGGCTCCAACAGTGTCGGTGATGACGTCCTCGTGATCCAATTCAGTCGCAGTAAACGGCCTCTTAAGTCCACGAGGGCTGCAACCCTGCAACTGTGCAATTGTGCTTGCATGTCTGGCCCCGTCTGTCCACTGAGATGACATTGTACCATCACGATTTCCCTCTTCCGCCAAGTGGCTGGAAGAGGATGTCAGAGGGTCTCTCTCTTGCAGCATGTGAGGCCGAGATCTGTTGACGGAGGGTATTGAGGCTCCTACGTGACTCAATGGGGATCTCTCAATTGTTGCCCTCGGAGGTGTAATCCGAGGATAGCCCTGCATATGCTCAGGCACCGGTGAACCTCGGTGGGGTGAATCTGGCTGGCCCTCGTTCCATGTTCCATTGAGAATAGCATTGGCATGGTCTCTCTGCTGACTTTGGTAGATCCGGGAGGGAACCGTTGTCGGCATGTTGTCATACTGCTGACAGTTCTCAGCTGGTTCCTCGAGTGTTTTGCGGGTGCCTGCTTGCTTGACTTTGTCCTCCGCTCGCTTGAGATCCTCCTGCCAGCGTAGGAATCGATCTCTCGCGTTCTTGGATATGAGGTAGTCATTGGGCACGATCTGCATCCCGTTTTCTACCGAGAAGTTTTTGGCGCCCTCCCATACCAAGATGTTCGGAGGTACTCGACGTAACGATAACGGATGGTTGCTCTTGTCTAGAATCAGCTTTGCGAGACAGATTGGATTTCTGATGTCTGCAGGATCAATGTCAGCCAAAGTCTCAGCTCCAAAAATTGATGGTCAACTAACTGGGAACTGCTCCGCAGGCACCGCTTCTTCCTAAATGGTCAACGATAGTTGCATCGCATTCCACAGTCCCGTCCATCGACAAATTAGAGCCATAACCCGCGTTGGTGATTTCTTTGTCTTCGAGGACACGCAGAGCAGCCTCGACAGCTTCCGTTGCAGTGGCACCTGATTTGAGGAACTTCATTCCCATTGAAGCCGCACTGGTTATGTTAGCATTGATGTTATGGAGCTCTGGGGTCAACATACTCGCTGCAAGCCTCTAGATGGACTCGCTCGTTCTGATGACTGTGAAAGCCGGCGCCGGCGTGGATGAAAATAGCACCCGTAAACTTCCCTTTGTGCTTTCGCTTGAACACTCGGTCGACTGTGCCATCAGCGCCTCCCACCTTTTTTGGGCGGATGTTTCTGTGACCTTGGACCTTGGTGATTTCCAAAGGGGTTATTTCACCTCCCGCAGCTGTGGTGGCTGGGGTGTGCTTAATCTCAGGGGCCGGCCTTTCCATTCCAGTGTCCGCCCGGCCGAGCTTGGATTCCAAGCCCTGAGAGTTCCCCTTCGGTCGCTGGTGCGGGAGACACTTGACGGTTGTGTCGGTGGGGAGTATGGATGGCGTTGCTGACTACGAGCTTGCGGTCCACATTGGCTGCAGCGCAGTGTGACTTTGAGTTGGAAGAAAGTGATGCTCAAATGTGGCCTAGCAGGGAATGATAGTCGCTAAGTTTGAGATAAAACTTGAGGTGCCGTGTTGGTCAGTCGACGGTGTTGTTGAGAACCAGGCCCGAAGTCGTGCTATTGAGACTTGACGGCTGGAGCACCTAGCCAATGCACCCAAATGATATTGTGCTAGGACGCAACGATCGTTGAAGGCTTGTCCCCGGGGCCGTTCGACAACCATCCAAGAGATGGAGCGGAAAGTTGGTCTTAGGTAAAGAGGAGAAATGAGGTATGAGGAATGTGGCTTGGGAGAATAGCCAAGGAGAAGCAGCAAGACTTTCAGGTCTAGAGAGGTTTCCGCATCAGTTCAGAAAAGCCGAAGTGCCGACTGTTGAAGAAGGAAGGGTCGTTGTGTAAGGCGGTCGCAGAACATTCAGTGGGATCCAGTGTGTCTGGGCTCCTTCCTGAAGCCACGCGTTCGCTTAACAAGACCAGAAGGAAGAAAAAACTAGTGAGGTGAGTTCGTTCGGTTGAACTGTCAAATGAGGTATCAGAGCAGATGCCTAATCAATGTTGAAATGTCCTGCACAGGTAAAAAAGGAAAAGACTGACTTCAGCGAGTCGAAGATTGCAGATGTCTTTTACTTTGTCCAACCGCTTCTGACTCAAAAACTAATACAGATAGACGGTTAAATATTAGGCAGAAGCAGTTATTCCCTGTTTCCAGTCCACGCAAGAAAAGGAACGGCTCTATGTTTCCTGATAGGCCTCACGGCATGAGCGATCGAGTGTCGTTGAATCTCGAAGCAGTACACCTTGCTTAGCTAAGTTGCTTACAGTGTTGGATAACAGTGCATGCAAACATACACCGTCTTTCCTTCCTGAATGTCTTGGTGGGGCTTGGTGGTGGGGCACCGACCTCTCCCATGGCTGGAGAGTCCACCCACTCTGATGCACAGCCGCAGGTTGGGAGCTTCCATCGGTGACAAGGCACACACTTCCGGCTACCTTGGGACGTACGTCGTAATCAACTCCACGACACATCCAACGCCTCGACGACCTGTTCACCTTTGCTTGATGCCGCAACTGAGCTAGAGTCTCAACGAGCGCATCCGAAAACACATTCACGATGGCGAACCAAACGCCTGCCGTTGTCATGGACAAGTAAGCCACCAATGTCACCCTGCCCCGCATCCCCCGAGGCAGACGTCAGTGAGACCATCACCAGCTAACGGGTCATCAACAGCGGCACGGGATTCTCGAAGCTTGGTATGCCAATTGAACAGCTTTATCACACAAATCCCGATTCCTATCTCTGACGTCTTAATCAGGTTTCGCCGGCAACGACTCCCCGTCCTTCGTATTCCCGACCGCCATTGCGACGAAAGGTGCTGCTGGAAGTGCAGGAGGAACGGGCTCCGGCCGTCCAGCTGTCGCGAATAAGCCATCCTTCCTGACCGGCGGCGCAGGTGCCGGTGGCCACTTGAACTCGAAGCGCGGGACCGAGGACCTCGATTTCTTCATTGGTGATGAGGCCATTGCTGCTTCTGGAGGACCCGGTTAGTTGGATGCGACGGACGCGTTCTTGGAAGACAGCTACTGACCGAGAATCAGGCTATGGTCTTCACTACCCTATCCGTCATGGCCAAATAGAGAACTGGGTTAGCCATGTCAAGGCTTCAACTGTGCTGTGCTTGGGCTGACCGCTTGCAGGATCACATGGAACGGTTCTGGTCCAACTCCATCTTCAAGTATCTCCGCGTAGAACCCGAAGATCACTTCTTCCTCCTCACCGAACCGGTACGATACGGGATATCTCTCTACAAGACGCGGAAGAGTCCAAGCTGACTTTGTCATAGCCCCTGAACCCCCCCGAGAACCGCGAGAACACAGCCGAAATCTTCTTCGAGTCCTTCAACTGCGCCGGTCTGTACATCGCCGTCCAGGCTGTGCTCGCCCTTGCCGCCTCATGGACCTCTTCCAAGGTCCACGACCGATCTTTGACCGGTACGGTCATTGACTCTGGTGACGGTGTTACCCACGTCATCCCTGTCGCTGAGGGATACGTCATTGGATCCTCCATCAAGTCGATCCCCATCGCAGGTCGCGACCTGACCTACTTCGTGCAGTCGCTGCTGCGTGATAGAGGCGAGCCGGACTCGTCGCTCAAGACGGCCCAGGAGATTAAGGAGCAGCACTGCTACGTCTGCCCCGATATTGTCAAGGAGTTCTCCCGATACGACCGGGACCCCACCCGCTTCATCAAGCACCCGGTGCTTCACCCTGGTGGCCGTCAGGTCTCCGTCGACGTCGGATACGAGCGTTTCCTCGCTCCCGAGATCTTCTTCAACCCCGAAATTTACAGCTCCGACTTCCTCACGCCCCTTCCCACCGTGGTCGACAACGTCATTCAGGCTTCCCCTATCGATGTGCGTCGTGGTCTCTACAAGAACATTGTTCTTTCCGGCGGAAGTACCTTGTACAAGGACTTCGGTCGCCGCTTGCAGAGAGATATCAAGCAACTGGTCGATGCTCGCATCCGAGCCAGTGAGGTTCGCAGCGGTGGTGCTAAGTCTGGTGGCTTGGAAGTTCAGGTTATCACGCACAAGAGGCAGAGACATGGTCCCTGGTTCGGTGGTAGTTTGCTGGGACAGACGCCCGAGTTCCGTTCCTACTGCCACACCAAGGCTGAGGTAAACCTTTCATTCATCCTCGTTTTGAGCGCTTTTGCTGACTTGCTTTATAGTATGAAGAGTATGGCCCGAGCATTGTTAGACGGTTTGCGTTGTTGGGCGGCCCTGGTGGTTCATAAATTTGGGGATTTTTGCTATAGAGACTGCGAGCCAACACTTATCTCCAAAAGGCTACCACCACCACTATTTACGAGAATCAAAATCATGACCACTTCCCGTCATGCCTTTTCTGCACGTGCGAACTAGGAGCCGGCCGCGTTCCTAAGCTGGAATGGGTACCCAGAAAACAGCTGTGTTGTGTCTTGTCGTCTCCTCTTGCTCTGTCCACTCACTCGAGGTGCGTTCGACGAGGGCTGACACCTGCCTAGAGTGTTTGGTCGATGCAACTCACTACGCTTTGTACGGATCCATGCCAAGATTGTGCTTGATGCAAAGCAAAGAGTCAACATCGTCGCTGCAAGTTGGTCTGTGACTATTGGAGGGACAAGCAGACGCTAGTAGTTAAGATGGGCTACACCCATTCCCTCCTTTACCCCAAAGTCCTGATGATCCGATTTCATGCACTTCTAATTAGCTGGAAGGCTCTATAGCCCTGCTAACATTTATGCCAAGACTGATGTTCGTGAGTATTTGCGGCCTGAACTCTGGCTACTAGTAACATGTGGCCATCTATCTTATAGTCAGTTTGCAAAAAGTCAGGAGTTTCTCACAAGTGTTACAAGCTCAAAGAAGACTGCAGAGTGTTTTCCAAATTTGTTCATTACTCGTTTCCAATAGAACGAGAAAGATATGTATCATACACGCTGAACTCCCTCCCAGGTTAGGTATCCTAAACAAAAGCCCCTTTGCAAACAAAAGACGTCAAATTCATCCACTCGCCCGCCGTGAAACACAACCACTGCCGCCGCCACCCAACCGCCGCCGTTAAGGCCCCAACCTTTTTGGTCTCTCAAGAGTTCACATTACGCCCCCACAACTTTTTGTTTCGAGATCTTGTCTCGCTCGTCTATTTGCTGGTGTCGACGACGTAGCGGCCGGCAATCTGGCCCTTCTTCATCATGTCAAAGACCTCATTGAGCTGGCTCAGGCCGACGGTCTTGAATGGTGCGTTGATGAGGCCGCGGCGGAAGAACTCAAGGGCCTCGGCGGTGTCCTTGCGGTTACCGACGTAGCTGCCCTTGATGTTGATCATGCGGATGACGGTGTCGAAGACAGGGGCGCGAAGGTAGGCGTTGGCGGGCAGGCCGATGCAGACGACTGTGCCGCGGGAGCGGACGTACTGGGTGGCCTGCTGGAAGGGCTTCTCGCTGACGGCGAGAAGGATGACGGCATGGGGACCAAGACCCTCGGGGGTGGCCTTCTTGACGTCTGCGACGAGGTCGGACGAGGTGGTGAAGTCGACGTACTCGGTGGCACCGAGCTTCTTGCACATCTCGCCCTTCTCGGCGCCGCCGTCAATGGCGACAGTGTGGATGCCCATGGCCTTGGCGTACTGCAGAGCCAGGGAGCCGAGACCGCCACCGGCACCGACAATGGCGACCCACTGGCCGGCACGAACGCCGGACTCCTTGAGGCCCTTGTAGACGGTGATACCGGCGCAGAGGACGGGGGACACGGCCTCGAGGCTGACGTCCTTGGGAATGCGGGCAACGTGGGCGGCCTTTGCAATGGCGTACTGCTGGAAGCTGCCATCGACGGTGTAACCGGAGAGCAGGGCGTGGGGGCAGAGGGGCTCGTCGGCGTCCTGGCAGAAGGTGCAGGCGAGGCAGGAGCCGTTGAGCCACTTGATACCGGCGTAGTCGCCAATCTCGACGTCCTTGACGAGTTCGCCGCGGGCGACGACGACACCGGCGCCCTCGTGGCCACCGACGAGGGGCATCTTGGTGTCGAGGGGCCAGTCGCCCATCATGGCGTGGAGATCGGTGTGGCAGACACCGGAGTACTTGACGTTGATCAAGACCTCATCAGAGGCGGGCTTCTGAACGGGAATCTTCTTGTAGACGGCGGCTAGGATGTCATGTTAGTGATATATGAACGAGCTATGAGGGATGCAGTGGTGACATACGGCCTCCGGTCTTCTCGATAACCTGAGCCCATTGCTCGGTGGGGATCTCGGGAGCGGCCATTATGATGGTTTGTGTTGGTGATGTGTGTGTATGAAGATGTCTCTGAAGTACAGATGAAATCTGGGATCTTCCTATGAGGTAGAAGAAGAGATTGGAATGTAAGATGGAAGGCTGTTGAGCTTGGTTCGCTTGATCTGATCAGACGAGAAACCAGAGCATGGCGACACTGGTCTTATATAGAGACGAGAGCAACATCTTGAGCATGGCCAGGAACGGTGGTATAAGTGAGAAGTGGGGGTGGTGGTGGTGAGGGTGGCAGTGGTCTGCTCTCCAACAGCTGGGGGAAGCTCGGTACGGTACCGGACGGTTCGTGTCAGGGATGGACGTTCTGGGCGAGATACTTTGGTACATCCGTCATGTCAAGTGAAGCATGGCATGGTGAAGCAGTATCGGAGAGAAGGATAAAGTGGGTTGAGACTTCCAAGCTGAGAGGAGGCAAAGCAGGAAGGACTGGGAAGAGACCGACTCGGACGAGTGAGGTGAGGTGTGGTATCAGGGCCGACTGGGCATCCACTGGACAAGGCTAGAGCAAAAAACGTATGATGTTGACGACAGGCCAGGAACCGCAGTCTAAGGAGCTTTACCCCTCACAGTGGCAGAAGGAGTTCGAGACACGCCATAGAAAACTGACAAAGTACACACCCAGTTGACACCCCCAACTGTTTTTTTGCAAAATATGTGAGGAAAGCCAAGGACACGGCCGGGTCCCAGGTGGGCCGGATCACCGCACATCAAGCACAGCTCTGAGAAGTTGTTGGAGAACCTAGGAGAAAGGGAAGCGTGGTGGTTGGTTTCTCTGCCCGGAGACTGCCATGTACCTACCTACTGTACGGTACACCCACCTGGGTACGTACTCGTACACGCGCGGGTTGGGGCTCCCGCCGGGTTCCATTCCACGGCGGCGCTTCCTGCACGTCCCGAGTCGTTCTCTGCCTGCACTTGCAGGCTCGAGGCTCGCAGTAACGGGCTGCCCACGGTTTCGCTCCACCGGGTTGGGGGAGAAAGTTGTAGTGCTGCTACTGCTACCTTGGAAAAGAAGGCTAGGTACAAAGGGAAACATTCTCGCAGCATTACCCCGCGCGGTGTTAGGGCAAGCGGGAGCGTAAGAGCATGGCGGTGTCGGACCGTGATTGGCCTCAGAAGCAGCTTTCCCCAGTGTAGAGGTACCACAAAGAGGCACTCGAGGCATGTTCTGGGATGCATCGTCGATGCAACGGCTGCTGTCGACCGAAGGCGCGGATAGCGGACGACAGGCTGGATAGGCCATAAGGCGCCCCCTGGCACTTCAAGACCCTACACACGCACCACTATACACAGTAAGGTAAAGTGTGGTGTGGGATAAGTGAGCTAGGATCAAGGGCGTTGGTGCGTCAGGACAGCAGGCATGGATAGATGGAAGTTTTGGTACGTTCTCGACTCTCTCTGAGTCTCGAGGCTTCCTTCGATTGAACTTCTCGTCCATGGCATGGATAGGGGGAATGCTTGACGAAGGAACCGACAACTCCACCTGACAGGTGCGGATTGACGTCGGAGCACAGCGCAACCCACAATGAACGACGTCGAGGCGAGTGGGGAGTGGGCTTCGTCTGCAGCTCTGACTGTGAGCAGTGGGAAGGGTGGAACCACGGCCGTGTTGAGAGATCCCTCTTCTTCCTGTTCTTGGAAGTTGAAGCATCTTTGTTTGGTTGACGGCCGTCGCCGACAGGTTGGGTTGGGTTTCGTTGGCAGGTCTGTACAGTAAACTGCGTGTGTCTGCCAGCTTCGGTCCAGTATTACACACCATCAATCGCTGCCTATGCCAACTTGCTTTCCTGCATGTTCTTTGCGTCTGGATTGGATCGGCGGACCTGATCTGATCTGATAGATACGAGACCGAAAGTGACGGCGAACATGCAGGCGAGGCAGCCCGAGTGGGATTCTAGCAGTATCCATTTTGATTCCATGATGATTTGATCCGAATCAACGCAGTTGCGAGGCAGGGCCGATGGATTGCATGTTGCGGTGTTGCTGAAGAGATTTTGAGCTGTAGGGCCGAAGAACTACCAGAAAAGCACCAGATTCTGGGCTGAAGATGGAGAATCATGAGATAGGACGAATAAGATGCGGCCAAAGCCATGGCAGGCCCGCGCCACAGCAGTGGGAAAACAGCACCACGCAGAGCCCATTCCCCATTTCGGGAGCTGCCGGATCCATGTCCAGATCCTCGTCTTTTGGTGAGCCTCCTTTTTTTAATCTGGGACATTCTTTTTTAATCCCTCTCTGCCCGTTTCCATTTGGAAGAAACTCCCGCAATGAACAAATGTTGCTCGGAGCTATTGGGAAAGAACAACAGAAGGTCCGTCATATCATGACACCACTCGCTTGTCCGAAAGGCAGGAAGCGCGGATAGTCGGGATGCGCACCTTCTTCCCCACCCTACAAAGTACTTTCCATGCCTTAGTCATACTACGAGTACCTACACTGAGAATACGCCGTACAATCTTCAATCTACATTGGCATTTGAGCCATTTGGTGGTGGTGATCGGGCAGTGGAAGCTCTGGTGGGGATCGACTACCTACCTTACCTTACAGGGTCCATACACCCTTCCGCTGACGCCTGTCGCCGCAATCTCTCGGCATCTGAACGGCCTTACTGGGAGAGAAGCACTCAACGCCGGGCAGCATTTGCTCCTTCTTCCACACACCACCTCATGCCGGACACCACCAAACCCGCCGAAAACAGTCCAGCCGCCTTGACCGTTCCAGGGGTCTAATTCCCGCCCGTCGACGGTTCCGTCACTGTTCATCATCAACAACACCATCTCACTGTACAATTCACATGCTCTGTGTCAACGTCTACTCCTCGATGTCGAATTCATAGTCAAGCATCCTCCGGACAGAGCTCCAAAATGATGCACGATATGCCCACATAAGTTTCCAGCAGAAAGTCGACGATACTTGGCCAAACAAGCGCCATGCAAACAATCACAAGCCGCGATTCTAGAATTGCAGCTAACTCGAGACGAGCCTACCTAGGTTCTCGTGGACATTGCCTACTGTGTACCATGTTTGGAAAGGCGCAGCAGCCGCACAAGTCTTAGTCCGAAGTCGCAGGGAGGTGGCTGCGAATAGCTTCAGAGTCCTCATCTCCGTTCGCCCAGAGCGGGACCTGCGGATCATGCATCTCGCAACCCCTACTCAACAACACCACGCCCCCTACGACGCACGATACGGCTACACGACACACATAATCCCTGAATCAGAGCAGAGGTAGGAAAAAAACAAAGCATATGCTGCCTCAACACTTGGACTTACTGCTAATACCCTAGCTGATAGGAATTTGTCCCCCCACAATCCCCCGCCCTTGGTGCCACTTATTCACGCCTCACGATGCACCTTCGGCTGCAAGCTCGTTGCTCATGCTGTATTCCCCCAAATTTCCGCAGCACGCTGCCACCTGCCTGCGAAACCTCCGCCGGCATACTCCAATAATGAGGGCCAGCCTCCACACCTTCGCTCGAAGGGAGCTTTGCAAATCCAACCTCCTGACGCAGACAATGCCCACTGCGTCTGACAGAGTTGCCCATAAGCGTGGCGGCTACGGATGGGGCCCCGCGATTCTCAAACCCTCCCCCATCTATTCCCCGCATGCCACCTATGAATAGCTGAACCTCTCACTCAAACAGTTGATCCCATCTTGCCTCAACACGCTCAGAACCCCAACCAACCACCCTTTCTGCTTCTCCAGCTTTGCGGGGAAGCTCCTGCAGCTCGAAACCCTCGGTCAACTCCCTTACTTTGCCTGCCAACAACTTACACTGTGTGCCGCGCACTTTGTCTCGAGATCCCAGTCAATGCTGACGCCCGGGTTCATCCCCGGATCCGGTAGTGCGGCGGCTTCAAGGACGAGCGGAGGGTTGTTCTCTGAGATTACCGGTACTCTGTGAGTTTCGGCCACCTCAGTCAGTCGGGGACGGAAACAGACGCCCAGTCTGCTCCGGAAGAGCGGAAGACACTACCAGAGACATCTGGCCAACGTGGAGAGCAGTAAATCTGGGGCTGAGGAGACCCCGCGCAATCCCCATGGGCCTCTACGAACCACGCGGAGAAAAGTCACTTTCCTTGCCATCGAATCAAGCGCAAATTCGGGGCTTTTGGCAGTAACCGATATCCCGAGCTGGGTAGTCATATGCAACCAAAGTTTCTCGGTCCTGTCGAGAAGCTTTTATCAACGAAATGTCCGCTTCTAGCTTCGTATTAAGCTCGACAGCCAGCACTCAGATTTCGAGGAACGAGGGTAGGGTAACGGAGCTTAACGCCCAACAGCCTGCCATTCCTCTACGAAAGCGGAGCACTTTATGTCTTCCTCTCATGTTGCGTGCGGGTGGCAGCGGCATCGTTGAACAGTCACTGCCCTGGAGCAGCTCGAATGCCAGCATACAACTGAGCGTAATGAACACGGGAATTCATCGCCAGATCCAAGAAGTGATTACGAATGTCGAGACTGGACCTGGGCTGGATTGTTACCTGCAAGCTTACAAGGGCCATTCAAAGTGGTTGCCACCAATTTCTTGCCATTCTTCCGACATTTTGACAAATTGCTTCATCTCAAGTGAAAAGGCATGCCGTTTACAAGATGAACGCTCCAAAGACTGTGCACTGTCCGATCTAAGACTGACAAAGGGTTTCGAGATGGAGTGAGGACGATCATAATCCCATTGGTTATGGCAGGGCGACATCGTTTCCTTTTCGAGCTGATCGTGATACGACGGTTGCACGATACCTTGACCTGAAGTTTTGACAGCTGCGACAACGCTGAGGAGTCCAGCCAGAGGGGGGGAAACGGTCTGGCGTATTAGTCTACGCTGTGACCTGTCCAAGTTTGACGCAAGGCAGCCCAAGCTGAAGTTTCTGCTTCGATAACCGCTCTCATCTGGTACTGATGTCAAAGCTGTCACGCACGCCACTTCCGCGTTGTCGAAATACACAAGTTCAAGGGTGCCATTGAGCACATCACACAACTTGGCATTGGAAGAATTACGCCGACTGGCTCGTGAAGGTGATGAACCTGGATCTGATCTCCCGCCATGGTGGAGCCGGTCAGGGCTTGCGTGGGGAGCGGGCCGACAGACCTAATGATTCATAGACCCGCACGCGACTACGAAAAATCATCCAATAACTGAGTAGGATCGATAGCTCAGTGGTAGAGCGAGAGATTGCAGTCACACGCAGTTTATCTCTAGGCCCCGCGTTCGAATCGCGGTCGGTCCTGTTCCTTTTGCTTGTGCGAATACCTGCCTCCAGAACCTCAATATTAAGCATTGAAAAGCTCTCTCCAAAGCCCTGGTACTATTTTGCCATTCTAAGTTGCTTTTGAGCTTGCATGCCAAACAAGCATCCGGACGTGATGTGACACCGTCCTGTCCTCGCATCGGAAGCCGTTTAGACTCAACGGAGACATTGGCCAGTGTCATGCGGGGGCTTGGCCGAGTCCCCCCGCCTTTACAGCTCAGCTTCTGCGTTGTAAGTGTCGGAACCTACGGGCAGCCCAGACGATTGACGCTGGTTTAGTGACATTGAGACAAGTGCAGTTGCATGGCAGATCCTGGGATGGTCCGTGTAAGACGCTCGATCACGATGCATGAGCCAGGTCTTCTAGCCAATCGTCTTCTCACCTGAAGATGATGACCACCAAGTCCAAACGAAACAAGTGAAGGCATACCCCAAGTGGAGGGTCGAACCTAACCGCGGCCTGAGCAAGCACACTTACATGTGCCGCTCGGTGAGGATTGAAACAGCTCAGTTAAGACGATGCTGCTCCTACCTCCTGCCCAGCCCCTCGGTGCTAAACATTGGTTGTCCCTAATTGCAGAAATTCTACAGTCTTGAATTTGCAATTCGACATCTAAAACTTTTCTTTTCCTCAAAACCCCTTCTTCACCTGTCTCGGAGACACCTGTCACTACAGGAACCCTCACTTAGTGTAATTGCTAGGGGATTCAACTCGCACTTCCATCAAGATGGGTTTACTCGAGAGCTTGACGGCGGCTAACCCGCTCTACATTGGAGGCTCCATCTTTGGAGCCTACCTTCTACTTCTGGTGTTCTTCAGGGTTAGGATGGAGTATCTCCTCAGCAAGTCTGGTGGTGTAAGAGCTCCAGTCATTGCTTCCAACCCCTTTACAGGTAAGAATGAGAAGTCTCCTCCCCCCGCACCAAAGATCAGGCGGCTAATTGGTGCGAAGCCATTCCGGTGTTCTTACGGATCGGACGTTATCAACTTAGGCACCAGCTCCTCGAGGGATTCAACACTCTTTTCAGCGTCGCTACCCCTGAGTCTCCGAACACAGTCGAGATTGGCTTCACGGGCAAGCTCCGCTTCCTCATCACTAGAGAGCCGGAGCACATCAAGACTGTCCTCACCTCCAAGTTTGCCGACTTTGGAAAGGGTCCCATGTTCCATCAAGTCTGGTCTCCGTTCCTGGGCGACAGCATCTTCACCACGGATGGAAAGACGTGGCAGGATAACCGGAGCTTGATCCGGCCCATGTTCATCAAGGATCGTGTTAGCGACTTGCACATCTTTGACAAGTGGACCAACATCATGATGGACAAGTTTCCGGCGTCAGGAGTCACCTTTGATATCTCGGATCTGTTCTACCGTATGACACTTGATGTGACGACCGATTTCCTGCTTGGACATGGTGTTAACAGTCTTGGCAAGTGAGTAGACCACTCAGACCTGGAGCCGGCATTGATGTGATGCTAATTCACCTGACAGCCCGAAGCATCACTTTGCACACGCATTCAACGAAGTCCAGAGTTATCAAATGTTTTACACAATCATGGCGTATGTGTCCTTGACGAGGGTGAACAGACCTAGCCGAGCTGACCCAATGCTAGACCCTTTGAGAACATCTTGCCCCACGGAACTTACAAGCGTGGCATCAAGGTTATTGAGGAGTTTATCCACCCTTTCATCCAAGAGGCCCTGGCCTTGCCGCCATCAGAGCTCGAGAAGCTCTCCAAGTCTGACAAGGACTTTACTTTCCTTCACAACATTGCTCGGTTTACGCGCGACCCCAAGGTCATCCGCGACCAGCTTGTTGCTATCCTTCTCGCCGGTCGTGATACTACTGCTGCAACGCTCTCGTGGACTCTCTACGAGCTTTCCCGCTACCCTGCCACATATGCCAAGCTGCGCGCTGAGATCCTGACGACTTTGGGACCGAAGAGGGCACCGACCTACGAGGACCTCAAGAGCATGAAGTACTTAACCAACTGCCTCCAGGAGACTCTGCGTCTGTACCCCGCGGTGCCTTTCAATGTGCGCTCCGCCTTGACAACGACGACCTTGCCTGGCAGGAATGGCAACCCCGACATCGCCGTGATCGAGGGGGATTCAGTTGTGTACAGCACGCTCGCCATGCAGAGAAGGCGTGATCTATATCCTGAAGTGTCAGAGACGTTTGCGGACCCGGCCATCTACAGCCCCGAACGGTGGGAGCACTGGCAGCCGAAGCCATGGCAGTATGTGCCGTTCAACGGCGGTCCGAGAATCTGCGTTGGACAAAACTTTGCCAACACGGAGATGGCTTATACGAGTGAGTGCCCGCCCTTGTCCTCCCCTGCACCTCGTCCCTCCATTCGGGCCATGCACTGTGAATATGGTGATATTGCTGAGCAAACGCTAATATGCACCCAGTGGCGAGAATTCTGCAAAAGTTTGACAGGCTCGAATACCGCGGAGACTGGAATGCGCAGGTCATCAGGGCCGAGATCGTCGGCGCGCCGGGCCATGGTGTGCCTATCGCGCTTTTTGAGGCTGTTGATGGTGAGATGGCATAATTGTCAAAAAGCCGCAAAGACGGCAGCGAGTTTTTCTCAGTCTCTTGCAACGATGTAACGAAACAAAAATCAAAGGGCCAAAGTGGCATCTACAAAAATAAATCACAAAAAAGGACTACAGCGACACTGGCTACCTTCGTGTTTGGGGACATGGGGGGTAACGAAGAGCTTTTTTAAGGTTATATAGTGAGATGAGGATGATCGACTAGGAGGGAAATAATCTTGTCGATAGTTTGATCGATTAGCGAGTCGCCGAGTCCCTCCGCGGCATGGATATCAATGAGATTTGTTGCAGTTTTTGATACGCTTCATGAGGATCGTCGTTGACTTTGCGCAGTATAAAACCGCGGCTTATTCTCTTTCTCAACATGGCGTGATACGGCAACATTGAATACGGAGTAGAGTGACGGCGACTGATATCAAAATCGGTTGTCACATATCTGAACGCGGAGTGAGCACGTCTTGCGTCGCACCCGTTCGGATCTAATTACTACCAGCCCGAGGGGGGACCCAGGGGAGAGATTCTTGGTTACGACATCGGCGGTCAATCACTACGGTGGGAGCATTAAAGAGCGACAGGGACCCCTGGTAGCAGCTCATTTCCATGACCCGATTCCGACTCGCCGCGTCCCAGTCGTATAATGAATGTCACGTATCTTGTGACCTAGTGAAGCGGGCGCGGGCGCACGGTTGATGAGAGAGGTGAGATGGCGCCTGGAGATTGAGACACAAAAGTCGTTTTCTTTGCAGATGGCGGGAGACGCGTCTGCTAGCTACGGGTGCGCTGTCAATGTTGGTGTGTCAAGGGTTTGAATGGGAGAGATCTGAAGTCTTCAGGGGACGTGTGCCGTACGATGTTGGGGCCTCCTTCAATCTGTGCTTAAACATGAATAGTAAAGAACGGCCAGACCCCTTTTTCTGAACGGACGCGGGGGTAAATGATGTTTGAACTGATGGCTGATGGCTGACGGCCAGACGTTTGGACGTTTGCTTTTTCGGGGTAGGGGGCGTTTTCGCTCAGGGCTTCCTGTCAATTGAAACGGGATCACGGATAGACGGAGAGGCAGAAGTTGGGGGCCACTGGCGCTGGGCTTGCACTCTTGGAACTCCTCCCGAGCTTTCTCTCTTGAGATCAAGCTCAATGGCTGTCTCTCTCGAAGAATTTGGGCTAGAGCATGACCAGTGAGACGTGCTTGTGGAAATCACCTGGGCTATGACATCAACAGAACAAAGGAATGGTGGACTTCTTCATCGTAGTCTTGTGAAACACGCCCCGTTCGAAGGATTCCTTTGTTCTCTCTTGCGTATCGATCGCAGTTGGTACGTCAACGGCAGCGACCGAGTAACACGAATGATTGAGGTATGACCGCTATACAGGAATGTCTGGCTGTCGTAGAGACGGTTATAGAAACGATTGTTAGAAAGTGTGCGAAATACTTCTACCTACTACCTAATGTGAGGTGAAGCTTCGGTGTGACGAGATTTGTGATTGGATCCTTCCCGCCAGACCGCCCTTCAATAACCCCTCCAGCTGGTGGGTTGGAGTGACCCGTTTAGGGAACAGAGTGACAGGGTTTATTCAGAAAAAGAGCAAATCGACCCAGTTGGTTTGGATGCCCCCCCGCCTGCCGATGTTCTCCTCTCATGCTCTCCCACACTTCCATTGGTGCTTCGAACTGGCTGCAACCCGATTCCAGGTTCTGCTCTCCCACCTCAGCTCTCCCGCTCCCACCTGCAGGAAGCTGCGACCAACAGGCGACCGCCCTTCCCACGGGACCGACGAGCACAGGGCAAGGCAATCCAGGCACCGCACATCACTTCCTTCCCACCACCAGGGCCCTTCCCGGCAGACTGCTCCTTCGCCCAACCGGCTCCAACCCTGAGGATTTGACAGCCGACCTGCTGCTTGCTAGACGTTGGAAAACCGTCCATCCGCAAAACCTCTTCACTTTTTTCGGCACATCGCGTCCTTCCTTCTTCTCCTTCACGCTCGGATACCTGCACCCTTTCTTTCTTTTTTGGAACACCTCGTCCTGCAGGGCTTGGGGAACGTTTGCCCGCCTGATGTCACTGTACGTTCCCTCCTTCTTCATGCACAATTGATTGTCCCGACCAATCGACTGAGACACAGAAATTGACGTCTTTCGCAGCTTTCCATCAGCCACTTAGACAACTTTTTCACCTTTTCGACTTACACCGCTCGGCGCGCCTACCGCACTAATTTTGCCGACTCCTACCTATCTACCTACCTACCTTGCCATACTCTCTTTTGGACTTGCGATAGCGAAACCTGCGACAAACGCTCTTTCTTTCACATTCTCAATCACGTCACCGACCTATCTGGGGGTGACCTCTGCGACGTAATTCTTCTCCGACAACTCGTAATCTCAATCTAATCTTGCGACAACGCTCGCGAGCCAATGGCGATATAATGAGCGCGACTCCCACGAACCGGCTCAGACTGACGCCGGGAAACTCCCCTTACCTTCAACAACGATCTAACCGAACCCCAATCCGAGGGCGCCTACCCCACGAGTCCCGGCTTTCCCTCAAACGGGTCATTGGCACCACCTGCGCTTCGCCAACAGGTTTCGATACCGTAAACTCCTCATTTGCCTACATAGCAGGCGGCGCCGTCGTTGTTGTCGATGTCGACGGTGAACACTATGCCCAGCGCTTCTACCGAGCCCGCCCGACTGCGACACCCGTGTACGGCTCGACGACTTTGCTGAACAACTACTCAGCGCCTTCTACACCCAAGGCCAACGATAGCAGGAATCGCGCCGCGATTGGGATTCGGGAATCGCAAAGTTGGAACGACTCTCCGGGATCAACGTGGACCAGCCGCGAGCGCATCAAAGCTGCGACGTGCCTTGCGCTGAGTAGAGATGGGCGGTATTTGGCAGTCGGAGAGACGGGTTACGCTCCTCGCGTGCTCATTTTCAACCTCGAGGACGCATCATCTGACGTTCCACTGGTCTCTATCAGCGAGCATGGATTTGGTGTGAATGCAGTGGCATGGTCGGCAGATACCAGGTGGCTTGCTTCTTTGGGCACGGCCAACGATGGCTTCCTCTACATTTGGAAAATCGACCCTCGTACGGGTGCTGCCAAGTTGTACCAGCAAAACAAGTGTACCTCCACTATTAAGGGCATGGTCTGGATGGGCAGCAGCCTTGTCACGCTCGGCGTGCGACACATCAAGATCTGGAAAGTCGAGGAGACTCAGACCTCTTCCCCTTTGAAGACGAGGTTCAATGAGGGTGTTTCCACCCCCCAGAGAGTCCTCAACGGTCGCAACGTCTTACTCGGATCGCTCCTAGATGGTACCTTTAACTGCGCGGCGGTCGTCGACGAAACGAGCATAATCATCTGCTCAGAGGCTGGCGACGTCTGTGTGGTGGAGGATGACGGCAAACAGACAAAGCTCGTCAAGTCACTCACGGTCGACTTTCCGGTCACCTCCATCACCATCAGACATGCCACTGCATATCTCTCAGGGAAGGAGGGCCAGTTCGCGACTCTCAGCGTCAAGGCCGTCCTCGATAGTCTCCCAGACGGTGTTCTGTCGAAAAGCGTCGCACCTGCTGGTCTGGTAGCTATGGGTTTTTTGACAGAAAACCTGGTAACCATCGATGAGAAGCACACCGTAGATATTTGGAGCTCGAGCTATCAGCCGGGCCAAACGGTGGACGACCCGTCACACGTTTCCATACCGGGACACGGAGACCAGATTTTGGGCATTCAATCAATGTCAAAGCCCAACGACCAAGGTGCAGATTTCTTCACGTGGTCCGGCTCTGGCAAGGTCATTTTCTGGGATATGAAGGGCAAGATCAAGTGCTCCCTAGATGTGCCCATTGAACAGGTCATCCCTGAGAGCGATATGGACCCCGTCAATCAGCTCAATGTGGTCCGAGCGACCAGGGCTGGGAAGATGCTTGTAGCAGCCGACAAGTTTGGCGTTCTCAGAATAATTGACCTGTCCACGAAGGAATGCCTGCTTGAGACGAAAGCTCATTCGTCCGACTGTCAAGGCGTCAGCATCTACGAAGACGACAAAAAGTTCCTTCTGGCTACATGGGGCAGAGACCGAACTGCGCAACTATTTCACCGCACGTCGGGTGGAGAGTTCCGGCACTTCCAGACGCTGGAATTCGCTGCTAGGGTTGTTCAAGTGCTAATCCAATCAGAGGACAAGATAATGACTTGTTCCATGGATAGGACACTGCAAACCTATGACATAGTCTGCAAAGAGGATGAGGAAGACGAGCTTGCGGCTCTCCCTTCAAGGGCAAACACCCTGAAAGCAGCGCCAACGTCGTTCGCCCTGGGTCAGGATGAGAGGACTGTATTCGTCTCTATGCTAGATCGGTCAATTTGCCAATACGATCTTTCCAATGGTCGACTCCTCAACTGCTTCAAGTGTGTTGATGAAAGCGGAGCCGAGACTGCTATCCTGGAGTCTCTGGTTTTCACTCAGCCTGCCGGGAGAGAGTCGGGCTTCTTGCTGGGCATATCGAACACGGACAAATCCGTCCGTCTTTACGATGCTCATTCGGGTCACTTTGTAGACAGAGAATGGGGCCACACAGAGGCTATCAACGGTGTCACGTTGATCGATGATGAAGATGGTTGCCAGAGGGTCATCAGCGTAGGATCTGACGGGACCGTAATGCTTTGGTCCATGGAAACGGACAACACAACTCTTTCATCTACAAGCAGAGATCCATCTCCAATGAAAGACGGGTCCGCTTCCACCAGACCACCACTTCGACGAGTTCTCTCCAAAGCAGAGCTGGCTGAGTTTCAGCGTCCTTCCTCCGCTCAGGGTGGCCGACGATCTCCACCTAGGACCATTCGGAGCCGAACATCTCGATACGGCCTGAGCAACAACAGCGTGAGCACGCCCAAAACAGGCATGCAAAGCAGCCCGCTAGCTGAGGACACACCATCACGACGCTCGTCCGGGTCTGGCAGTCCGCCCATCAGTCCGAAGTCGAGGGCATCTAGGCGACCCTCGCTTCCGTCTTTGGGCCTGCCGCCGAAGAAGAGCTCGCCTAATTTGCGCGGATTTGGCAGCTTGAATATGGCTACAGAGCAGGCTTGTCGTACGTTAAGGGCTTATAGAAAGAAGCTTTCCTCTACGGAGCCACTAAGCGAAGACGTCATCTTTGAAATCGACCAAGAGCTGCGCCTGACAGCGGCCGCCCTCGGCGACAGGGCTACGAGAACCAAGGCCATGCACGACTCAGCCCTCTTGAGTGGTCTCCTAGACCAGTACGAGGAGCGCCTGGCCTCTATGCTTGATGAAAAGCTACGGAATACCTTTCAAGGGAGAGAAGTACAGACTCCCAGCGAGGAGCGCGAAGAAGAGCTCCTGGCCGTGCGGCCTGACACTGCCGGCGGCGAAACTACCTCTACATCATTCCCTTAACATGCTCTCATTGTATTATTACATTAATCCTTCCGACCTAACCCGCATTGTACAACACCTGCTGGATATAACGGCGTTAACTGGAAAAGAACCCTGGCGTTTGGGGTGAGATTGATTATCGACCTACTTTACAGCACAAAGTCTAGATGTGCTCAGCCTTGGACTTTGGGGATATCGCAGGCGGAAAGGGGCATCGTAACCCCGACTTTTGATTTGTCGGCAAATCTTGTCTTTTTGTTTACTCGTCACTCTTTCGACACAGCAGCAGCGACTTTTTTTTTCTTTACTATTCCTTTGATTTGCAAAAGAGGGACACATTCGTCACATACATTTAAGGATCACGGAGTCCTGAGGGGGCAGGGGCGGCGAACTGGAGCCAGGAGTTTTCAATGTGCCCAAGGACATAATGGGACAGAAATGCGGGAGGGGCCTGGGGAGGTCGGAGAATTGGGGGGATGACATACTATTTACACTACATCCGGAGGCACCTTACTTTGGGCACCGTGGATACGAACAAAAGGGGACGAGGGAAATTTGGATGCCGATTTCTAGCGGCTTTTTGCAACCTTGACTACTTGATCCTTCGGGTCTGCTCTCTTGGGTTTACATCTCTACATATTTTAGCCCCTCTTCTTCTTAGGGGCAATGGGAATACAACATGACGAGGCGTACCTCGTCGTTGACCAGCTATTACTACAGTTGTGACTGATCCAGGTCCCAAGTGAAGTCACAATAAGCTAATTTGGGTTGTTGAGATGACTGATCGTGTAAGTCTACTGCATGAAGTCGGGTCTAATGCAACCTTAAAGCAAGGCAGGTAGGGCGAGAGATACTCATGCCGCATTACACACATACAAAGTGAGGAAAGCAATAGGGCCACCACCCAAACCTGCTCAAACAGACGGTCCTGCCCAGCTAGAGAGGTCTGTACAATGCGCCTGCTCAAGTCAACCTGTCCAAGGAGACAAAGCGGTTCTCATCCACCCCCCCTCCCCGGCACCTTCCTCACCTTCCTCCTCCCGAACCTTCATCCGATAACCTTTTCCCACCACCACCCGAATACACAACCCGAATAACCAAGAGCAAGCCTTCATATACCCCCTCAATCCAACTCCAGTCACCAGCCAGCAGGCGCCCGTCTAGGTCGACGGGTCAGGTCAAACTGGCTGGGTGGTGGAGTGGTCTACGGTCAACATCAATTATCTACGCCAACCAGCCTACTCGACGACAGGCTAAGCGCATACGAGTTCGAGTCCCGGAACGAGCACCAAAATTTCCCAGCATGAGCACCAAGAGATGTAGCCCCCAGTCCAGCACCGGGGGGGTGAACTCTTTTTGTCTTTTTGGGTGATGGGAATAGTGAAAAGTCTCTGTAAATTGCTTCGCGGAAGAGAAGAAAAAAACGGTGGTGCCGTGTTCCAGAAAATAAATGTTTTTCTATCCAACGCCCGCGAATGAATCTCCTTGTTCTTTCTGGTTCCATCTGCCCTGCCTTGCAAACCCACCATTTGTGGTATGTATGATCCCACCACATCATCGTAATCAAACAGCGAGCCCCTCTTCCAACGCCTCGTCCCGCTCCAGCTTCTCGAGCCCCGTTGCCACGGCACCGTATACGCGCAGAGGAACTGCGACCTCGAAGCTCTCGCACGCCAAGTTTTCTACTGCCACGAGCACTAGACCTCCGCGCTCGTCCCGGGATATCTCTTCTAGTAATGGATGCGTGCTAGGCGCCTCACGCTCCAGCTCGGTCTCCTGGCTCGGCACCACGAATTCCACGCGGATCTTCCATTCGAATGAGATGCCTGTGGTGACGAACTCTGGTGTTGCAGTAATAGGGATGGTCGGAGTGAAGACCATTCTCCGCGAGTAGAGCGTCGCCTCCGACGCGGACACATGAACTTTCCGCGTCACGCGGTGAATGGAGGCTTCTGAGCGGATGGCCAAATGCGGCTCGACTCGCTCGGCCGACTCGAGACAGGAATGAACCGCGTAGCAAGGGATCTCCGCGTCTGTGAAGTCGATGGCCATAGTAACGACTTCGCCCAGACGGTACGAGGGGCGCGTAAGCATAACGACACCCACGCGCTGTCCGTTGCGGGCAATTTCGAAACGGTTCGGGCTCTGCTGACCCTCGGAAGTTAGGTTACTGCGCATAATAGCTAGGTTAATGGCCTCTGTGGCCGTCGTCGCCTCCTCAAATACTGATGGACGCCGAGAGCTGGGGTATGCCGTGGGTGATAGCAGCCCTGCGTTGGATCCCTGCCGTGGCCTTGTTAGAAGCTCGTCGACATATACGAGGAATTCATTAATCGTTGCGTCCGTCTTAGTCGATTTTAGCTTCTTGATCTCGCTGAGGGTCGACAGTTTGTCGACAGTCTTGATTTTCGCCTGATCGCGAAGTATAATGTACGGATTCATGAGATCATGACCAAGAATCTCTCCATGGCTGTTGACACTGCCGAGAACCCGGAAGGGAATCTCAACGGAGCGCACCTGCTGCTCTTTAGAGCCACCTGCTCGCTGTGTGCCGATCACTAGATTGTAGGAGATCTTCACCGCTTTTCCCTTATGTGTCGGCGGTAAGCCCTTTGGGAGCTGAAACGAATACTCGAAAGCTTTGTGCTCTCCGGGGGCTAGGTTCAAGTCCACAAACAAGATGGACTGTGGGGTCGAGAGTAGGGGGACAGATTTGGCGCTGGCGATGCCGCGCATATCTTTGATGCTGCTGACCTCGCCGGCTCCAAGCAGCTCTCCGATTGAGTTGCTGATACTCCCCCAACCGAAACTTCGAAGCAGTCCACTATCCCGTTTCGAAGGCTCCACACCAATGACACCACCTCCTTGACCGCCGACAACGGCCTTTCGCTTGACCTGTTCAAACGGCCCGAGGTTGATGAGTGAACCATCCAGGGTGAATGAGCCTTGAATTTGAGCGTAGCCCATCATCAAGGATTCCGGTTGCCTCGGGTTATGTGAGGCGAAATTGGAAGACTTTCGGAAATGCGGCGGCCGCATAGGGCCCCGCGTGGGTTGAGTTGGATATTCAGATGCCAGAGTCTCCGTAGAATTGTTGCTCATTGAGTAGAACTCCCCACTGCTGCGTGGCGTTCCTCCGCCCATGCTTGTCGTTGAAAGTATTCGCATGGCTGGTGTAGGATGCTCGATAGGGTTGGTGAGTACGCCGTCTTTGTTCCGTATAGCTAGGGTTGGAGGCACTTCGGTGTTTGGACTTAATAACCCATCGTGGTGTGACGCTACCGGTGTGCTTTGTGTGTCCGACAGTGGCGACTGGACCATTGGAAACCGGAAGTCGGCCAGCGCGTTGGAAGGCGATCTGATGGGACGTTGTGAACCTGCCACGCCGGGGGTATTCGGTGCGGTCGAAGATCGCGAGTTGGATGGGGGTGTGTCGGAAGCGGATGTCGAGTTGAACAAAGGTGAGCTTATGTGCCTCGGTGATGCTGTAATGGAGTTAGTATTTGCACTCTGCATCAAGACCAGGAGCCAGGATACTGACCAGAGTGAGGCGCTGTGAGGCCGAGCCCCAGAGCAGCTCCTCGAGGCACAATCTGTAGGCTGGATGCCCGAGCATGACCGCGACCAGGCCGATGCGCCTTTACGGAGCTAGCGTTGCTCTGATTATCGTCGGGTACGGTGCTTGTGGAACCAATTGACACAATGGAAACGGACTTCTTGTGGCCATTGCCACGGTGCTCAAGAGCACTGGGAGGATGTGATGGTGTCCACGGCACTGAGCCCGCGCGGCTTCGCGATTGAGCGACCGGTACATTGAGGGATAGAGCAGATCGGTGACCGCGGGTTTGTGCTGAGTTCGGCGGGGTCAAGCCAGCGCTAGACTTGCCTCTTAGCAAGGGCGAGACATGCCTCGGTCGGTCTACAGGTGCAAGTCGTTGGGACTGCCGTTGCTGATTCGGATCGCGAGCGATGTTCTTGAAGGTAATGGTGCATTTGATCTCCTCGCCAGCGAAGACGGTCTGGTCGTGCCAGCGGATAAAGACTCGAATGTTGCTGGAGGCCTCTGGAGACATGATGGCGCTCGTCCGGGCGGAGGGGAGGGGAAAGGATCGATTGAGGTAGCAACGAATCAAGTAGTCATCACATGTCTGGTATCAACCATCGTCGCGTCTAAATTCGTGGATTGGAGATGGACAAGGAGTCCTGACAGGTGCATTGAACGTCATGGGCTCTCCGAGTTGGCGGGAGATGGAAGTTGAGCGAGCTGGGCTAGCTCCAGCGTTGCTGCGAGTCGGGCGGACCCCATTCGGCGCGCGCTGCAGGGGGTAGGATCCACGTCCCCGTTTCCTTTCACAGTTCTAGCGTCACTGTCACCTCGGCGCCTTACCTCAGCAGTCCGGCCCACTGATTCGGGGACGGCAAGGACGGAAAGCGGAGCGGTACGTACCCACTCTCATGAATGTCACTTACACGATCTCAACACCACACCTTCAAGGGGTTCTAATTCAACTGATTGCTAGAGATCTGAGTATCTATGCCGTTTGCACATGGTGAATTCTCTCATAATTCTTACGATTTATGTTCCAGTAGTTTCCAAAGAGACGTAATTCCACTCACTCCAGGCCTTACTTACCATGGCTGGCCGCGGGATATCTCTTCAAGCAGGAAAGAGGCAGGTGCCTGCCTTCTGAGCGCACCTTCTACTGTCCATGAGAAAATCACCAACTTAAGGCGGGAGCCGAATCTACAGCGATGGAAGGTATGGATCGGGAAGTGACGGGCTTCTCGTCTACACCTACCTCAAAGCCTTCCACCTCTTCCACATCCTCTCTCGGCTACACTTCTCCCTCTTCCACCAGAGGCACTTCACAAATTATTTTCCATCTCTCTTATCCATCCCACCGCAGTCCTTTCCCTGGGGGACTCATTATTTCACATTCTTCTACCAGTATTTTGTTCAAAGGGCAAACGTTCCAAGGTTGTAGTTCTCTCTGTTCTTCTTTCTTCTTTCCGCCGCCAAGATCTTCACGATCATTCAATTTCTGCTCACAGCTTCCGAAAGCACACCTTCTACAGCAAGAATCAAATCAGGCTTCACTCAAAGATGGCCATCATCGATACCCTTCCCGCTGTCAGCGTTTCTGTTCGCCTCAAGAAAGCCTACCGAGACGCTGACGAATACCCCGACCCTTATCCGTACCATGAGCATGAGAGATACATGGACGACTACGAGCAGTGCGCCCGCAACTACATTGAGAGTAAGGAAGGCACCGAGTTCGCAGTTCACGTCAATGTCTTGGACGATGCCAGCATTGATCCGTGGATCCATCACGACGAAGGCTTGGTTTTCCTTCTCTTCCTCGACGGCCACTTCATGGGAAAGCGATTCTGCTACGATGATGATTTCAAACATGGAGGCTGGCACTTTGCCTTCAAAGGCAAGAGACATCCCAACCAGGATAGAACTGCCATGGTTGAGAGTAACTTCAAGTTCCAGACGATTACTGCAGGTAAATCCACCGCATCACTCGACTGTTGACAATATTCGATGCTAATATTTCCACACAGTTGACCAAGACGCTACCGACGGCGAATTGAGACGCGCCAAGGATCTTGGTACAATCGAGGTGCGCGTCAGACTTGCCAGATTCGCTGGTGGTCCACGCCGCAACAGATGGGTCAATTTGGAGAGACCGTTCCGCGAGCCGGGGTATAACAAGTGCGAGATATCCGAGGAAGCTATCAAGGGCCGACCTATCTACCATGGCACTTCGTATGTAATAATTTTCTGCTGAAAATGTACCCATCACACTAATCATGTCTTCGCAGCTTCACCCCGCCAGTGAACAAGAGTCTGCGACCTCCTAGCTATGCCCATCGAGCATCGATAGAGCGAATTCGCACTGGTCCCCTCTTCGCGACCTACACATTCAAGTATCGCTCGCGAGGTATGTGTCATCGTGTAACAGGCGTGCCTTTGGATTGATACAGGGCTGACTGTCATCAAGATGCGCTGAAGATTGAGGAGATCCTTCACCAGACCCCCAGCCCTGAGCTTGCCCCGACGCCTTTCCCCCATCAGAAACCGGCCTACTTGGGAAAGTCGAGCCTTCCCAGATTCGAGGACCTTCATGAAGATGAGGTCGAGCGTCTTGCTCGAGAGAGACACCAACAGCTTCAAGTAGGGTGATGATTCACTTTAAAGGGTTCACAGACTGACATCCCCACCAGGCCGAGCAGGCGCAGCCTTCAGCTCAGAAGAACAAACGGAGCTACGACGACTTCTGTGATCTTACGGACGGTGCTGATGAGCAGTCGACACGTCCTTACAAGATCATCAAGCTGGGAAATGGCCATGACGCTATTGATCTCACGGGCGGCTACTAGAGATGTAGGCCAGGAGATCGTGCGTTTGTTGTAAAGACGGAATTATCACAGGATGGAGGTCACTGGAAGAGTCTTATTCGTCAAACCAAGCCTTTGTTGGGGTGGTGATTTCATAGGCCGAAGTTCACTGTAGTGAATGGAAGGCCCCAAATGAAGACAGTTCGGGTGAGGGGTGTTGTTTTGGTCGAAAGGAAGTCGGCATCGCTTTGATAGAAGACTTGGTTCGAGGGATCAGATGGGAGAGCAGTGGGACTCATATCCATCAGAACGCTCACTCCCGGACCACCATGAGTTGTGTTAAATACAAAAGTTCTCAATTGTGCAGGTGTTTTGTTATTGTTATATGTGACATTGAGTGCGAAGTTCTCCACAACAGGGAGTTGAATACTGAAGAGTCTCTTCTCGAATTCTTGAAACTATCACTATAGATCTCTGCACGGCCGGCTTATTCACCATGCGGTGGCTCGGTTAGGCCTCGTCACCTGCCCCAAGGCAATTAGACATAACCCCAAGCCAGTCCGCGAATTTTTAACCCTACAGATGCCCCAGGACTCGACGCATCGAAGGTAGAAGGAATCTCTGAATTCTCCTCTACAGTAAGGTACACCTCGGGCCTTTCTGGCTACTTTGACTACTGAGCTGCTGCAGATCGAACGTTTCCAGCCATAACCCTACATTGGTCGTCAATCTCAAGCTGGATTGAGTTGCAGAAGTACGGCCACACCTACAGGCCACGAGAATACTTCTCTTTCAGCAAGCCAGGACGATGGCAGGTTTCGACTTCAACATCAACATGCGAGTGGTGGTTATCGTCGCTGGCGCTCCAGCCCCGGAACGAGATGACGTGACAGCAGAGAGCCTCGAAAACAATGCCCCATTCAGCTGCAGCAAAGTCATCGCTGTGAAGGAGGGAGCGAAATTTTCGATTCTGGCATCTCCTGGCGCAGGAATTTGCCGACTCCTTGCCAAGGATGAGGGGCTGATGGTGCTGATTCACTTTGACGACAACGAGGTTCTCCGGCGGTTGTATACGAAGACCATGATCGATGCCCGGGCATCGCGCCGACTCCCCATGGAGTTCTTTGGAGTTACGGGAGTGAATAGTGAAGGCCGACAGGTCTTGCAGCCTTTCAAGTTTGCTACGGCCAAGAAAGACAGCGACGCGATTCGAGGTACCATTCGCGTTGATTTATACATTGTCAAGCTACTTGGTTCACCGGAGAGGCAGCGACTCGACGACACTACTGCATATGGATCATCAGTTCAGGCCAAACAGTAAGTTGCAAGCATAGCCTTCTCGCATATACCAAAGAACGTTTGATAACAGCGGGATCAAGCTTGGGACCAGGAACGAAGGTCAAGAAAGCCCTGGCGGCGGACACATACGACGTGAAGCGGCTCAACTACGAGCGCCCTATCGCCCGGTTCAACTTCAGATATGGACCAAGAGGTCTGTAAACTCTCTGATCGAGTTCATCTTTCCCAAGACTGACTTTGCTCAGGAGACTTGCCCGTACACAGACCCAAGGACAATAATGAGAGCAACCGCGGTGAGGGCTTGATCAATATGCCCAAGAATCCAGCTCTTTCAAAGCAAGGTTCAGGCGGGATCAGAGGCGCTGACGCCAAGAAATCCTCCTCTTCATTGCCTGCGAAGCTTCGTGTTCTGCCGGTAGCCCCTGCGCAGACACAGACAACTGCGGGTACGAAACCTGCCTCGACTACTGCCTTACCTGACAAGGGAGACAAGATCGACTCTCAACTTAACAAACGGTTCATTCCTCTCCGACCCAAGCTTCCACAGCCCACCGCAAAGGAGCAGAAGCTTCGCAGAGAGATATCGGATGAGGAGGCCTTCTCGATTCAAGAGACTCGGTCCAAGGACGCTCAACTCAGCAGGAAGAGATCTGCCGCGGTGGCTTTCGGCAACGACTCACCTTCTAGACCCAAGAAGTCTCTCGCTACTTCTACTTACTGAGAAATCGAGATCATAGATCGAATAAGAGACGGTGCTGGACGCGGGATGGAAGTTCTTGGGCATCGAAGTGGGAAAGGAGTGGTCCGAATGAGAGATCGATGTTGATGAGCTGACTAGTACGAGCCTTCCGCTTAGTGAAGAAGAGAGGCTCAGTCAGATACAGCGGCCGTGTCTGTCATTCGTGGAAACTTGCTCAAGGAAGCAAGATTGACTTAGAAGGGCCAAGTAGGTAGATCCCGTTTGCAAGATTGGCATCACTAGCAATGAGATGAGAGGTGTTGCCACCCATTTTGACGCTTCCTGTGATGAAATCTTGTGCAATGCGTGTGAACTGAGGCTGAATCATGGCTTAATGAGAAGTGAGAATCCATGCGTCTCCTTTGATTCGTTGACGCTTACATCAAGTAATGGAATCCGGTAACACAGGGCTGGCAAGAAGCCTCCTAAGAGAGGCTTCTGTAGAGTGGGATAATTCCTTGGTAACCTATGCGTTCTCGGGCTCAAATTCGTTACACCAGCCATGAAGAATCACGTCTAGGGATTGTCATTGAGACATGCGGTCTGCTTATACATATTCCTCGAGGCGCGTCTTCTGCTCATCCCGTCATTGTGCCGAAAAGTAGTGGTACAGGGCATCCACACGCTTATGAACGCCCGAGTTAACAGTGAGATATGATATGAAGAAACTGTTTTCCTCGTTATTCTGTGTCTAACATTGCAAATACGACTTGATCATCCCCTTGCCCCTTTCTAACGTATATCGTCGAAAGCCCATCCGAATGAATCACTGGCCAACATGGCCTTCTCTGTCCAAGTCTGAGGAATGTACCCGTCACAATCCTCTCAATCATCGCTAAGATCAATCGTTCCATCTGCGTCTATCTTGTAGATCTTGCGCGGACGGGAGTCGGTCTCCTCGTCTGCTTCGCGCTTCACGCCGGTTCCAGGCTCTCTCTTGACTTGAGGCTGATGAAATTGTCAGTTTGACATCACCTTGAATAGGAAATCACTTACTTCCAGCTGCTCCAAACGCTCTTGGGCAAGCCTCATGATATCAGCTAGCGGCAAGTCTGCCACGGTTTGGAGCGGGGGTGGAGGAGAGGGCTCGGGAGAGGGGTCCGGAGAAGGATCTCGAGGAATGATACCATCGATTTGAAGAGAAGCCTTAGGCTTGTATCGGAAGAAGAACCGAGCGATTTGCTGGGATCCGTCCCTGTTCTTGAATTTCTTAACCCATTTCCTTGCATCTTTCGTGGTTCCTTCGGTAAAGCTGACCACACAATTAGCAATATCATCGTATGATGCTGTTGGAATTCTCACGATGTGCTATGTGATATGCTTTTGCCTTTGAGTGCCATTTCAGAGATATCCCCTATATTCTCTTTCTTCAATTGTGACGGAATTCTAAGTTTGCGGCCATCAAGCTTGACACGGAATACAGTCACTTCAATAATGCCGAGGTGTTTCGCAATGACTTGATCTCTTGATAGTTGCTCGTTGCTCCCTTCGACTGCGTCATCAAAGTCAGCGGCTCAAGATCGATGAAAAGAGACGGCGAAGAAAAACCTGTTTTGATGGAAGCGAAGTTGAAGTGCCTTCTAATCTCCTTGCCAGGTTTGCTGGACCTTTCCGGAAAGCTGTCGATGGTTGAGACGATGGTCTGATCGACCAGCGCAGAAGGTCCGCAGTGATATGTGGCGATGAACTGGCCGTCAATATGAAGCTGTAACGCGAGCCAGTTTTTGCCATTGATCCAAGTCCGGCGGTTCCGAGATTCAAAGCGGATAGAAAATCCGGCATCGACCTGGCTTTCGATGACTTTGGAGGTGGTATGAGTTGCCGGGCCCTGAGATGACGCGGATTTCGGGGGATCTGGATCGTCGTACTCGATGCAGTCTTCCTCAGATCCGTTGACACGGATGGAGACCTTGGTCTCTGGGAGGCCATCAATCACCGCCATGGTTCCTCCGAGTCGTGGTCGTAGGTTGGCGTTTCGAGAGTGAGTAAGGCCTCTGGAATGAAGCGATACAGACTGGTGTGATCAGATAAGTCTGAGCTCCTGGGCCAGGAATGAGAAGGATTGGTAGAGAGGGGAGATTTAAAGAGACGAGAAGGGTAGAAGGAAGGAGGAGGGTGGAATTACAGGGCGAGGAGTCCAGTCCATAAAATGGAAGGTGCATTGGAGGGAAAGCAGCAAGCCCGCCGAAGCAGTAGGCACCTGCGTCGAGAAGAAGCCAGTATGGATGGGCTTTTCAAGACAGCCGAATTCGACCGTGATTCATAAAGAAAAGTGCCCCACGGATTTTAATTTCTTGTGACTCAAAACAAGAGTCTCTCGGATGCGACCATTCCAGTGCGTGGTCGCTTTGCAAGGCCATGCATCCAGAGGACACCTAAGTGAACCATGGGTACCCTCCTCGCATTGGATCCTTCGCATGAGTCGAAGTCCTTCACCTCATTTGTGAACAAGCCAATGGTAAACAAGAGTAGTACCTTGACCATGGTCAAGGGTCCTCCTGCATACCAGTATGCATCAATAAGAACTTAAATTTACAAAATACCCTTAAGACCGTCTAGAGAGATCAAAAAAGAGTTCACCACCGGTGTGGTTACATCTCTTGGTGCTCATGCTGGGATTCGAACTCGTAGCCTGTCGTCGCGTAGGCTGTGGGTGTTTTCATTGTTGAATCCTTAACCTCTCCACCACCCAGCCAGTTTGACCTGACCCGTCGACCTAGACGAGCGCCTGCTGGCTGGTGAGAGGAAGGGGATTGACGGGGTCTATATGGCCTTCTCGCATGCTGTAGAAGATCTTGACTCCTCAACCAGACCCAGCGGTTTGGTCTACCTCCCTAAAGGCCCCGACCACGTATTTTTCGGAAAATCGCTTGATTTTTCGCATCTTGTTATCTCTATACTCGTTTCTGCCGAAGTTCCGATATTGAAGAAGACAGGCTATGTCATCCGGGGAGCCCTGTTCGCCGCACAATACCTGAAGCATCCCTTGGTCGCTTCACGGCCTTGACGCAGTATAATAGGGGTCACATTCTGCTCCCAATTCCCCCAATATATCTACTCAAGAGCTTGCTAGCATAGGTAAATCAAGATGATCTTGTATATTCAAGTACTTTTGAAAACTAATACGATTATCATTTATCGTTATTGTCAATTTGTTATGATACCCTCTCGAAAGCGGATTGTACAGTGTAGAAAGCAAGAAGCAATCATAATAGTAGTAATAATAGCAAAAATAGGAGCAGGAGCAGTGATTGTTATAGGAGAAATAAAGGTGAGGTATCGAGCGGCAAGCTATTGTGTCACGCCCAGTTGGTAAGGTACTTTCCGGGATGATGGGCCGGTGGCTTGCCTGAGTCCACTCTTGGCCGTTGGTGCAGGGGGATCTACCCGCTGGCGTGCCCCAGAGGTTTTTAGCGGGGTTTAATACCAGACTACGGCCCATATGGTTCATCAATAGAGGAATGCGGGAAGGACCCGTTTGCCAACCGTAAAGACGTCGATTTCTTCTTTTCGTCCCTAACGTAGAGCAACTTGAGACGGGCGGCCTGTTTCGGCTTGGCAGTATCTGTAGGCACTCATCGACGAAGCTTTGGCGAATGAACATGTATCGGGAAAGTGCCAGCTGCTTCACTTACAGTCGGCAGCTGGGTACCCCACTTCTGCCTGAACAATGGAGAACAGCCAATCAGGCAGCGAGCGCACATCGGTGTAAGGCAACCCCCACCCAATAATTGCCTTTTCAGTCGCGTTCGCACCTTCTTCCTCCCCATCTTCACGTGGGTCTAAACGTCTCATTCCAAATTGACTTCATTCCACTTTTCCCTCATCACCGTACATACGCCTTAGCTTATTTCAACGACGGAACGACTCGGACCACCACCTTCTTCTCTGTCGGCGGGTTCTTCAAGTGGACTGGCGAGACTGTGACGCAAGATGGCTGTCATCGATGAGCTCAAGGGTGTGAAAGTCACCGTCCAAGTCAACGGCCAGGAAGCCGTTGAGTACGACGACCCGGATGGCTTGGAGAACGACGTCAACCGCAAGCACGCAACCCACCGTGCCTTCAACTATATTGAGTCCAAGGATGACACCTGCTTCACCGTGAAGTACGAGGTTAATCATATGCACCGGTGGGAGAGCCCGAAAAGCGCCTTTTCACTCTACTTATATGTCGATGGCAAGCGCATGGATAGTGTCGTTTGCGAGGCGAGTCGCTTCAACTCATTCGATCCATTTTACAAATGGAGCACAGTTGTTGAGGGTTCTCGAGGAAGCTCGAGAGACCCCTCTTACGATCGTCTTAGCAAATTCAAGTTCTCTCAAGTCACTACTGGTAAAGTTGTCATATCTTGGCGGTGCCATGAGTGTATTTCGAGTATTGACATGCCTTCCAGTTGACGATGCTACCAAGGAGCGCGTCGAGGGAGACTCTAAGAAAGCAAAGTCCCTCGGCGTCATCGAGGTTTTTGTCTACCCCTTGACCATCACAGGGCCTTCGTACACGTCAGGCCACGAGCACTATCGCGACAATCAAGATTCCAGTTTCAACATTGCGGAAAAGGCGCTCAAGGGCCGCGCCGTCTCTCACGGTACCTCGTAAGTTGCATTCTCTCGCCATGTGTCAACTCTGCCTGTGCTTACATGCTTCATAGCTTCACTGACGGTGGATTTGTTTCCAAGAGGAAGTCAGTGTGCGCAGAATATCTCAACGGCGGTAATCCTATCGCCTGCTTCATGTTCAAATACCGTTCCAGAGGTATGAGGCGATCGGCAAACCAGGTCTCTGCTTACTCAGCTCACACTTTCACAGATGCATTGCAAAAGGAGCTCATCGTTCCTCGGTCTCCAAGCCCCGAGGCCATTGACGAGCTTTCTGAGGCCGATATCAGGCGGCTAGCTGCGGAGCGCCTGGACGAGATTAACGTGTGTTTCAGCCTTAACGCTGTATAGAGAACCAAAGGCTAACCTAGCGCAGAATGGACGTCGATCTGGCACCGTCAAGCAAGAGAGAAAGGGCCCTATCATCAAACGCGAGTTTGCCGAGATCTACGACCTCACCGAGGAGCCTGCCAAACGCGAATGGAAGAAGATCAAGATCGACGCCAACAGAGAGGCTATTGACCTCACCGATGACTAGGCGTATGAGTTTCTTGAATGCACTTCCTTGGTACTTGTTCTTCGCCAGTCCGCAGAGAACGATATCATGAGCACGACCCTTCAATTTTCGGCGCAACTTTGCTTTCGGGGCCAAATGGCATATTTCGGTTTGTGTTAAGCCAAGCTTCAGGGACGTTTTGTTTTGTTTTTTCCAGCCGCAGTCAGGAAGCATGGGAGTATCTTCAGACTGGAGAGTTGAGAATGCCAGTCTCACCATGGTTCTAATGCGAGCAGCTTATCGTTTCTTTCTTCAGGAGTTCAGGGGCAAAGCGCCAGTTTATACCCTCTTGTTGCACTTTATCCCATCCCTCGACAGGTAGCCATTTCGGAAAATGGAAATCAAACGCAGATTTGCTTACACGAAACATCAAAATAAGAAATGATTGCTTTTCCAGTCTGCCAAAATCCTTCTTTTGCCTTTGTGTCCGTGACATACCGACATTTTCTAACCTTTTCCCTCTTATCCCATGACCACATCTTCATCTTCCTTTACATCCATGCTTTCTTGTTTTGCTGCAGCCTTCTCCGCCTTGAGTATTCTTACCGCCGCCTCCGCGGCTTTAACCTTGACCTCGTCTCTAGAAATCCCACCGTCAACCTCGACAACGCACCGCTCGCCAACCATGACCTTGCAGGAGAACCGCTTCTCACCATCGTCGACATCCTGCACGTCCAAAACGTACGTCACAGTCTTATTGTCCGCCAAATGACCCAACTCCTCCTTGGGATGTAACACGTGCACGCTATCCCTCAGGATACGATCAAGGTACGCCAAAATGCCGAACCGCTCCACGACACCAGCGCAGACGTCCAAGTCCCCGGAGTCGACGTACACGGCGCCGAGGAGGGACTCGAATATATCAGAGTAGAATTTCCGTAGCTGCATGCGCGCCATGAGGGCCCAGGGGTACGTCGTACCACGCTCCATCGCCTCGACCATCTCGCCCCTGAGCGCGGCGTGTCGCTTCGTGACGTTGAGCTGCTCGAGGCCGATGGCGGGGGATTGGTGGCGCATGAACTTCCACAGGGGTAGCGCGAAGCGCGCGTGTTGTAGCTCGGGCTCCTTATTGCTGCCGTCGGTACCTGTGATGATGACCTCGTCCTGGCTGACTGCTTGCTCTAGAGCTAGGAAGCCGAGAAAGTCGCCATTGACCATTGCTGTTTTGAGGAGATGCATTGTCTGATGTGGGAGGGGAGGTTCGATGGAGAAGAGGCGTTTGACGATGATATAGTCAAGGACGGAGTCGCCGATGAACTCGAGACGTTCCAGGCAGCCTAGGGTATTGCCGAGGCTGAAGGAGGCATGGGTCATGGACTGGATCAGCAGGGCCTTCTTTTTGAATTCGTAGCCTATGAGCTGCTCTAAGGGCTCGAGGGTAGACGGGAGTTCCACGTCAGAGGGAGCGACGTCGTACAAGGCCTGCCTGCAGTCGTCTAGGGTCTTCCACTTGATTTGCTGGAGGAAGATGGACATGCACTTTAGCGCTTTCGGGAGACCGCCGTCAATCATTGAGGCCCCAATTAATGCTTCGACGATATCTGCGAGCGTTTTGGTGGAGATCTTCCTTGTGGTAGGCTCCTCGCCGTGCTGGAGCACGTCCTCCACGTAGACTGGGCGCCACTTCTGTCCCGTGAAGGGCTTGGTGAGGATGAATCTGTCGAGACCATGCTTAATGGCCGCCTTGCAGAGGGTCGAATTTGCGACGATGGCGTCTTTCTTGAACGACAGAAGCCGTTCTGGCCAGTCTGGGTCTGGTCTCGTGTTAGCACTGGAATTCAGGCATAGCCTGTTAGATTGCTAGAGGTGAACTTACTCAGAGCGGCCACATTGATTGTGGCAGAGAACTTGAGAATAGAGTCGCCGAGAAATTCGATGCGTTCGTAGTTTGTAGGTTCACACGCGCTACCCGCGCTGATGGCTGTGACTACCAGAGACGGGTCAGAGATGGCGAGTGGCCTCAGCACACCCATAGACAGCTCTCGCGCCACCAGGTACGTCTCGATACGGTGCAAGATTGATGGTATAAGCACGCCGAACTGGGCATACTTGGCAGGGATGTTGTCCACCTTTGCCCACGACATCGGGTAGACTCGATTATACGGCTTGATAGTAGCTGGGCCGTGACTGGGATCGCTCTGTGGCCGATGAAGGAAGTCCGACCTACGGGACCACTTCTTGAGAGCCAGGTAAGGTTCATCCTCTGGGGCCTTTTCGAATTCGTAAAACATCTTCTGTACAGATTCGGGTGCCGGCTTGCGGGGGATGACATTGTCGTACAGATATGGGGAGCCAGTCTGGTCGCGAATGAAACAGGTCAGATCGTAGTCTGACATCGCTCCTGGAACGAAACCTTTGACGCCGATTTGATCGACGGACATATCTCCAGCACCAACTGCACTAAACCTCACAATCTGCTGGAGATCCGCCGAAACCCACCGATGACCGTACGGCAGAGCAAGAAGTACAGCTGTGTCATCATTGCCGGTCAGCTCGTCAATGGGAAGCTGATGTCCAAACTCAATTGACCAGGTGACGTTGTAGTCCAGATGGATGGGTATCGTCTGCAACCCAGGGACCCATAGGGGGATGACCATGTCGTACTCTCCCTGGACAACACCGCCCGAATCCTTGAGTAGGATCCGAGTTGCCCGCAAATTGTCGCCAACTTTCCAGGCCCTGGCTACTCCGATCCAGGCATTGAGTAAACCGTTGACCTGCAGGATAGCAGCTCTTTTGTCTACTCCGGGTACAAAGTCCTCCGGCTTGAAAGGCAGCAAATTGTCGTTCACAAGTCCAGCCTTGTACAGGTTGCGATAGGCTTGAAATGCAGCGTCTTTTGTAGCATTTTGCTCTGATTTCCAAGCCAACTGACTCTTAGAGCTGCGGACCGAGGCCGGTAAGTAGCTCGGCAGGTGAACAGTGGCCCGCAAGTCCGGCGCACCTTTTGTATCCGTCTTGTCGATGATGTAGTCCGGCCGCCAGTCGATGAACTCTCCCGGGGAAAGTATTCGGCATATATGGTCGAGATGCTGCTTTGCGTTATCGAGATCCAGAACGGCTCCTGTTTGTTCGACTTTGAAGGTCATCTCCTTTGGCTCCTCAGCCTGCTCGATCTCTTGTAGATGTTCCAGTTCTCTCTCTTGTTCTTCGTACTGAGCCTTCATCTCCGCCTCCAGGGTCTCCCACTCTTTCCCCAGTGGATTCGAGCTGTCAAGTAGCATGAGAAGCTTGGATTGCTTCTTTCGGGCCCGTCCTCGGCGTTGGATGAACGACTTGAGGTTCGGCGGGGTATCGAAACAGACGACCAAGTTGCAGGCCGGCACATCGATACCTTCTTCTAGTACACTGGTAGCAACCAAAAGATTGCTCCTCCCGGATCGGAATTTGTGTAGTGACCGCTGATCTTCCACTCGAGAAAGATCCCATATATCTTTCTTCTTGGCTTGGAACTGCGATGTGCCCATCATGGCACCGATTCGATATCGCTCTCGCAGCAACTCATGCGATGTTAGCAGATGACATAGAACCGCAACAGTTGCTCTTTCTCTAGCGAATATGATGCCAATGGTGTCAGGTTTATCCTCTAGCAATTGATGAATGACAACGAACACCTTATCCGACAGGACAGCACGGCTGATGTTTTCTTTCAATGGACACTGGCAATCGACTTGACTGAGAACGTTGATGAGGTATTGTTTCTCCTCATCCTTCCATGTGTCAAGCCAGACGCTTTGGGCCTTGACTGTGGCTCTGAATCTTGAGATCACCTCCCAGATATAATACTCTGCAGCCCAAGGTCCAAGTTCGTTGAATATTTGATTCGCTTGGCGGCCAAAGGAAGTCATTTGGTTCTGGATGTACGTGTCGTGACTCTTGAGAACCGCAATGAGTTCACGCTGACTGCGATCTGTTCCCTCCGCTTGTAAGTGTCGAATGTATGGATCCTCCGAGATATCGAGAGATTGTATAGCCATCTTCAAGCTTCGCAAGCTGTTGGGAATATCGTACTCGTTTCGATTCTGGAAGATTGCGGATGCCAGCTCTGGCTTGTTGACAGCAGCAAGAAGGTCGTCTCGGTGCATCGTCGGGCTCTTGCAAACAGCGTCCAGCGTGGCCTCGAGGGTATTGATGCTTTCGACTTTGGAGCCGAAAGTCGGGCTTGCTGTTAGACCCAGAATATGGGGAGTAGGGCGGCCTTTTCGTTGTTCTTCATGGTAGAAGAGTGACATGATTTTGCTTCCCGGAGACTTCCCGATGCAATTGTGAGCTATGTCGTACTGGTTAGCCTCTGCCCCTTTCTAAATGTCCAACCCACAAACCTTCGTCAAAGACAATCAGAGATAGTCTGGACATAGGCACGAATGCGTGCGACATCGCGTCCAATAGGATTTGGTACGTCGACACAACCACGCGTACATTGAGAAGAACCGCATCCCAAGTTTGCTGGTCGGACCATGAGTCCACATTATCGTCGCCACTGAGAAACTTTATCTGGACCTCTGGTATCTGGGTTTTGAGAACTTCAAACTGTTGGCTACAAAGCGATACCGTGGGGGCTAGAAACCAGACAATCTGTACAGTCAGCCTAGCAACAGAGATCCGTAATGGTCTCAACGCACCTTTTCGGACGTCGTTCTCTCTAATTCAGCTCTAATTCTCAGAACAGCTCTATAGAAGCCTCTATCAATGTCACGAAACTACGCTTGCTCGTAGGTAGTCCACTTACACTTGTGTTTTGCCACTACCTGTGTCCATCTATCAAGTGTTAATAACTCTTGGTTTCTTTGGGACTGGATCCACAGGCTTGACGAGACTTACAGCAACAATAATGTTTTGCCGCATACTCTCGGCAAGCATTTCGGACTGGTAGGCCCTCGCATTCATGATGACCGAGTTGCCTGAGGCTGGCTCAGCTAGAGGCGAAGAGGCCTCATTGTTCAGGAACAACTCCTCGGCGGCTGCTGAGAGTGCCTCCTGGTTATGAGGCCCCAGGACCGGCACATTGGGAGGTACATCATCTTGCACAGGATCTGCACCCTCGCCGGAAGATGATGGTGAATGGCCAGTCATTGATTGTATGGTTCTAGCGTGGACCTGAGGACCCAGTCCTAGGGTCCTGACCACGGTCCTGGGAAGCGCGGTACTTCGGGAGAATCCAAGTAAGCCAAGAAAAGGTACACCAGCACGCTCAAAGTACCGGGGTACAATGACAAGCCTCGCCCGACAGTGGGGTGGTCGGTATGAGTCAAAAAAGGTGTGTAAGGTTAAATGACGCGGCTCAAAACGGAAAATAGACCAAAAATTCGTGTGACGCGAGGACCAGGATTCATGGGGCTCGGTGGACAGCACTCTGGTGCGTCTGCGGATACAACCTCCGTGTATTCGTACGCGTAGAACTTGCTTAGTGCGATGGGTGCGATGCATGCGTGACTCGGCGATAAGTGCCTGATTGCTGACCTGGATATGGCGATGATGCCGTAGTGAAGGTAGAAAAGTCTACGAGGTTGGGGTCCTTGCCAAGAATCACGTCGTAGTGGGTGCCTGGAGGGCGTTCGGGAACGTGTTGCCGCTTCTTTGCTTCTTTTCTCGTTGCACATGAGTAAAGAGGAAAAATGAGACCTCGAGGCAACACGTAGTCGTGGCATGCTATCCATATTTGCACTCGCAAGCCAACACGCACTGCAACAGGTCGGTTCTTTTGAGTTTAGGGACTCTGCAGGAGGCCAGCGGACCACATCTGCGGAGGACGTATACCACTTCGCAACGCAGTTACGCACCGTGTCAAAAGACTCATTTTGGCGCTTGTAGAGTGAACTTTTGAATTGAGAAACAGGGATCAAGAGAAGGCGATGGAGCGAGCGAACGACAGCCTTGGGCCTCGGGTACCCCCGTTCTACTTTCGAAAAGTCGAAGCTTTGCTCCGTATGGTAGCCCCGATTTGCTTGATGTGGCCAGCGCAGAAAGTATTAAATGTAAGGTAAATCAGGAAGAACAAAGTAAGACTCGGACGAAAGAAAGAGCGATCTGACATCGGTCCCCGACCAATCAATTTAAGAACTCCCAACCGGGATTTGGAAGATCAGGTACCTATCTTGAATCTTCCGGTAAGCCGTCGTGACGGATAATTAATCACTGGCCTGGAGTCCTGACCAACAGCTGTCATTTAGGCTCGCTCATGCTCCGAGAGTTTCCACAGTCACCCGCACTCACCCCGGCTTGAGTATGAGACTAGCCCAACCGGGGCCGATGCCGAGTTTATCGGTCTTGATTCTCCGGAACCCGAGGCCTACTTAGCCACCCGCCCGGACTCTGATTAAATCCAGCATTGTACATGCAGCTAGCTGACGCCTCCAGGAAAACGTGCGTCAGTACCTTGCCAAGCCGAGAACAGGAACATCTTTGCTTATGAAAGCAACGCGGCATCGGCTTCGGATCGTGGGCCAGGCATTAACTTGAGAGTCTGCTGCCTCCCTGGGTTCTACATCCGACCATTCAAGGTACTACTCATCTACCTGAATTGCCAGTCTGTATCTGTATTGGTTGATCTGGCTTGCAACCTCAACTCTAGTCTCTGGATGCTACCCTGCTCTTCAATTGAGAGCAATGTGGCGAAGTGCAGCAGCAATAACTGGGTCATCCGGGCCTGCGTCTCTCATGCAATACTCTTGTTTGAACTTTTGTTCGATTGTATTCACATGACGGGGAAAAAAATACGTAGCCGCATGTTGCATATCACTTCTTGATTCGCAGAAGTCCTAGACATTGAAGGTTCTTCGTTTGAAGTCTACTTTGACTTGCTTGGTTGAGTCGCAATGCTGTGCCTCCCAGGTGCGATTAGCTTAATGCAAGGCCCTGCTACTCGCATGTGGCTTACTTCTCCTCAATCAGTCTAGACAACAGTAGACCACCGCACAAAAGTGTCATCTGCCTGATGGTTAGGCACTCGAGGCACACCCGGTGACCGGTCCCAAAATACCTTCCAGCGGGACTATCAGGTGACTATGTAGGTTGTTGCGGCACAGCAACTGGCGGGCGGTTTCAGATCGTGGTAAGCCAATGAACTGGCTGCCAGAGGCGGCCGACTGTCGCCAGCGATTTTTGGTCACTTCGGTAGTGACCATCTTGCAGCTGTTGCCTGATATATGGCTCCATCCAAGTCTCTGATCAAGATTTCTGCCGTCAATAATTACCAAACGACGCCGCATTGTCAGTCAAGTTCCTTTACCAATATCTGCAGTCCGGGCCAACGGTGGTGACAGCTTGCATCTTTCCCTGCGAAGAAGACTCGCCAGTCGTGGCCAATCTATCAAGATGCCCAATCACATATGCAACGTATCTCGTCATGTCGTCATTGCAGGTCATCCATTGAGTCTAGAGCTCGGACTTTTCGTGTCCCATGTCTCTATGCTGTTCTATGATACAAGGTAAGACCGTCCTAGCCATTGCGCAAATTACAAGTTCGTAAGATAGTCCTCAATCTCCTGAGGGCTGAGCTTTCTGAAGCGAGGGCCCTTGGCACCCTCAACACCCTCGATACCGAGCAGGTGGTCTGCCGGAGGTCCGATGATGCCTATACTCCCAATTAGATGCATTCTTGACGACACACTTTGAATACTTACCAATCTCAATGGTATCTCCATTCATCTCTCCCTCAATGGTTTCCTTAAGTGTGAGCAATGCAATGTGCACGGCGTCCTCAAGTTCCAAGCCCTCCGTGTATCTCTTCTCCAGGAACGTCTTCGCAGACGTAGCGCTCTTGCCAATCGCCGTCGCCTTCCACGGGAAGTAACTGCCAGAGGGATCGACCTGGTACAGCATGGGTCCACCCTTCAGAGTACCCCCGGTCTTGCCTGTGGGCTTCTTCTCCTCGCCTTCCTTGGTCTCGATCTCGTCCTCAGGCAAGATACCCTCATCCCAGCCAGCAATCAGCAAGCTGACGCCGTAAGGTCGGACACCACCAGACTGAGTAGCCTCCTGCATGACACGGGCAACATCCTGCACCAATATCCGCGTAGGCGGGTATTCGTTGTAGATGCGCTTGTAGCCGGTATGCGATACCTTGCGAGCCTTGTCCACCAATATTCTGTAGTCGGGGCCCATGCCTGAGTACACCATACCGATGTCGGGGGTGACGAGGCTGATCTTGGACAGCGAGCTAGGGTCGGCAAGGGGCGATGATGACTTCTTCTCGGTCGCAAGGACGATACCGTTGGTGGCTTTCGAGGGGTTAGCATGGGTTGAGGAAGGAGGGGCAAGTCGACTCGCCTTTGATACCGAGGGCGGTGACACCCTGGTTGACGGCGTTCAGAGCATATTCTAATTGAAGGTCAGTCCTGCGATTCGAAGGTTCGTTCCGTTCCTGAAGTTGGGAGACATTGGCCGGTGGGGGTTGTGATGGAGCATACCGATCTGAACCAGCTTGCCGCTATAATCTATTAGCATGCGGACGTCATAGGTTGGAAAGCTTATAAAATTACCTGGGCGAGAACGTCGTCAGGGAGAAAGAGTAACGGTCGGCCATTGCTTGATTGTTTGATCGTGCAGTCGAGATGTGATGTCAAGTACAGTGGTCGGGGAGGATGGTGGGTGGGTTGGCTGCGGTCAAACGAGGTGAGGCTGCCAGAGCTAAGGTACGAAGCTCTCCCTCCCAGGCAACTCGCGCCGCGTCAAGCTGCCAGACGCCGGACGCCGCTCGGGAACCAGCAGCACGTGACACCACCGGCTCAGGTGTTGATCCGGGTCATACTGCTGACGTAACCGAGGGGCGCTGGAAGCTATGACCATCTGAAGAAAGCTCACAATAAAGTGCCCGGTGCTGGAATATTCTTTTTCGCTCTTCATTTGTCCTGTGCCCTCCCAAAGATCCTATTCGCTTGGCGCAGCTTCTCCGACAGGCACAGCACTCCGAAAGGACAGATCAGGCCTTCATTTTGCCTACGCTAATTCTTGTCATGTAGGCGCTGCTGCACTTGGTCAAGTTAGGCCAAGTTTCCAACCCCGAGCTAGCCGGTCTTTCACTGCAAGTCTTCTATTGCTTCTCTTCCTCTCACAGCACAGAGTCACTCCACCTGCGCGATACGGAAAGCTCAATGCTTCGAAGACGCATCAAATCCCCACGTCTACAGCAATCAATCTTTACTGTTCGTCATGGATGCTGCGAAGCCTCAGTGGAATTGGCCATCTGACCTCCCTACGGGAGGCCCAGCGCGCAAAAGCCACTCTGAAGCCGACCTACCCGAGAAGACAGAGCCTATCAAGTCTGAGGACAACGGGCAACAGGACAGAGACCAACCCCAGGAGCAACCTCGTTCTCCGCCCAAGCAAAGATACTATGGGCCGCGAACATGCCGCATTTGCTTCGAGTCGGTTCATCCTACATTCGAAGAGCCAAGTGTCATGAGCGGCTTCATGAACTCACGTCCACGACCTGTTTACAAATCCGATGATCCCGACTCTGGACGACTTATCTCACCATGCAAGTGCAAGGGGTCTCAACGCTACGTCCACGAAGGGTGCTTGCAAGCTTGGAGGTATGCCGACTCGACAGCCACGCGGAATTTCTTCGCATGTCCCACCTGCAGCTATTCATACAAGCTGGAGCGATTATCCTGGGCGAATCGTTTGCAAGGAACCTTTGCGCAAATAGTACTAACTATCCTCATCTTCATCGTTTCGGTCTTCATTCTGGGCTTCATTGCGGATCCAATATTGAACTTATGGACCGATCCCATGGGCGCAATCGCGGATATGGCAGCGAATGTTCTCGACGACATCGAAGCAATTCATGAGCCTCCCCCTGAGATGGGTGCGGAGCCTGGAACATGGCTGGAACACTTCCTCAAAGGCTTCTTCTCTCTTGGACTGCTTGGGTTTGTGAAGTCTCTCTTCGCTCTGTCACCCGTCCAATGGTGGAACTTGAGGTCCAGCGGTATCCTCAGTACTTCTGGGCGTCGAGGAGGAACTGGTCGCGCGCGTGTCGAGAACATCAACTTGGGCTTGGTCGTCATTGGTGCCGCTACCTTTCTGTGGGGAGTCTGGAAGGGCGTGAGAAAGTTCAGTGCTTCAGCTCTGCAGCGTGCGAGCGACAGAGTCTTCGATGTGGGTGGTGACGATGATGAGGACGAAGATATCAAGGAAGACTAACATAGGTCGGAATGTGGAGAAACGCAAACATTCTTTATCACTCAAGAGACGGAACGCCTGTTGCGCCATGTGTCACGATGCCACCCGCACACTCTTAAGTTGCCTCGAAGATTCTCTTCCATATCGTGTCAACTAGTCTGTGTGCGGAGAATAAGTCCCTGCTCTGTCTTTGAATTGAGCCGTTTTGGTTAGATTTACTTTGGACGAGCGGACGACATCAACCTGCTATCAATCAATCAACATTCTGTTGGCTGACCATGCCGACGACAACTCTCAACATCCTTTGAGTTGGCAAACGCGCAGGCTGATACACACATGTCTCACGGACTTATCAATGGCGTAGCTTGAAATTTTGATAGTGATCAAAGACATGAATAAACTTTTATGTGTCACATTTCCGCTGCTTATGATGAACCGCATGTACAGTGAAGCTTTGCAAGGAAGCATCAATTCGAGTGTCGGGTATTTCTTTTAAACAACTGAATCTTATTTATCTAGCAATCTACGCCTCATGGTCAGCGTCACAGCACCCCGCATAGAGCATTAGGTTTGACGTTGCTTTGGTGGTGGGGAACCAGCACAACCCTTGACAGGAGGGGCTCAGGGGACCCAGGGATCGCCCGACCGGACAATAATACCACCGACCGGGCCAATGAATGATGGTTTTCGGCGCGGTCCAGATCTAATGCTCCCAAAGTGGACCTCGAATTAAACGAAGCCATAGTATCGAGTTCGTGTTCACCAGTCTGTACATTGACCGGCCGTCCTCGCCCTTGCACCACTGCTTCCCTTACAACCCTTTCGCTTTCCAAGGTGTCGCCCAGACTTCTCGAGGCCCGGACGTGATGCGCCTCTTTGGATGACGCCCTGCGAATACCCCGACGATCTTTGATTTCGACATTCCATCACCCTTCCTCCCTCCTTTCTGTGCCAAGCCTCTAGTCGCAACGGCCACAGTCAGCGTCTTCTCTCGTGTTCGAACACCGACGAATTTTGTCCTTAAACGACCGCCATTTCCGGGACATCGAGGCGTCGCATTTCGACGCTGGTCCAGCCGCGACAATTCTTTCGATCGTAGGCCGACGAGTTCTCCCTTTGAACTAATCTCCTAATTCGACACGATGCATTTCGCATACCCACCACGAAAGAGCTCGAACCCGCCTCCCTTCAAGGCGAGATCCTCCAGAATACCACCGGTTCTTCGACGAAGTAGGCTCAAGGTCATCGCAGCAGGCGCTCTTGTATTCTTCGGCTTCATATACCTTCTCTCTGGAGCCTTCAAGTCACCTAGCGGCCCTCGACCACCCTCTGGTGACCCACCAGCGGTAATAGTGACGGTGCTGGATGAGGACAACTTTAGCAACAAATATCTCGCAAGCATTCGCGACAACAGGAAACAATATGCGCAGCTACACGGTAGGCTTTCACTGATTCTTCTTTGTGCTGCACATGCTAATAGCTCTGGGTATAGGCTACGAGGTGATGTTCGTAAAGGCGGGCGATTACGATCTGAACGGATCTCCATCATCATGGAACAAAGTGGTGTCACTGAGGCATGCGATGACAAAGTTTCCAGAAGCCAGATGGTTCTGGTATCTCGATCAAGACGCTTACATCATGGACCCGGAGACGTCTCTAGAGAATCTGGTGTTGAAGTCGGACAGGCTTGATACTTTGATGGCCAGGGATCACCCCGTCGTGCCCCCTGACAGCATCATCAAAACATTCCCTCATCTCAAAGGCGACGACATCGATTTCGTGGTCACGCAAGACAGAGAGGGTCTTTCTTCGAGCAGCTTCTTCATCCGAAATGGCGACTGGGCGAAGTTCTTCATCGACACCTGGTTTGACCCTCTGTACCGCAGCTACAACTTCCAGAAGGCTGAGGGTCATGCTTTGGTAAGTTCCTTCCTTTTTGCCTCTTGTTTTTGCCTCTGAGCCAGATTTAACCGTTGCCTTAGGAACACATTGTACAATGGCATCCCACTATCCTTTCGAAGCTCGCCATTGTGCCGCAGAAGACATTCAACTCATACAATCGATATGATAAGGGAGAGATCTACAAGGATGGTCACTTTGTTGTCCGCGCAGCTGGATGCACAAACACTGGAGAGCGGGCTTGCGACGAGGAGCTAAGTAGCTTCAAGACGAAGTGGCAGGCGGCCTTCAAGGCGCAGTAGACGGAGGCTAGAAGAGAGCAATGCTTGTCCTCGCTAGATGAGGACCAACGTACAGAGAAGCTCCAGGCGTTATATTCCCCAGGAAGCATGAACTCGGCATTTCAAGTGTACAAGAGCTGGACGAGGGCGTTTATTTGGGTTTGGGGAGACCATCTCATGAAGGAATTTTGTACGGGGGTTCGTGACAGATGGTCAAGAGCCTCGGAGGCTACCCGGTTGCATGAGCTTCTCGCACGGCGCTCATGAGGGTTGTTATGTTTTTTTCTCTCTTGATACTTTCGAGATGATGACTTGTTTTGACGACCGAAGGCTTGCGTCTTCTTGTGTTTTGTATACCATACCGATAGACATTGGCCATCCTGCCACAGCGCGGATGCTAATACGGACTTTGTTCGCAAATCTCCATACCATTGATAAGCAATTGCTCTTGGCCGCGATCAGAAATGCAAGATCGTCTCCACTTAGCCAACTTGTCTCCTTGAGGATCTCCGGCTGCCCTTTACTTAAGTAATTACACGGCGAGTTGGACAGGGAAGGCGACCTCGCATCAACCAATGAGAAGTAGTCTAGGCGCAAGTTGTTGGTTGTCGATGCACGTCTGCGATTCGGCTGCAAGGTTGTCGTTCGCTAAGATCGAATTGTCAGGCAGCGCCTGGGATCCGCTTGGATCTCTCGGACGTGAACGCTGTCGATGTGACGTGGTCGAGGCAAAGCGCATGGCCACCTTGTCGGAGCTTACTCACTAGGACGCTGGTTGACCTTTGGCGTTAGGGGCATTGTGCGACCCGACTTCAAGCCCGAATTGCTTATTATTCGGCATCTGTATTTAGCAGTGTCAGCCCTTATGCGAAGAGGGTGATGATGACACTCAATAGTTGGAAATGCGACTTCCAGGAGTGTCCGGGGCCATTGGATTAAGCCGGGTGACGGGCGTCCGCGGGCCCGATGCCGACCCGCTATAGTGGATCTCTTCGCTCCGGGGCAGTCCGCGGACAGACAGAGTTGAATGACCTTCCAAGGTTGCTTGGACAGATAACGCCCCAGACTTATGCTCTAAGCATGGAAATTTCCTGTAAAACAAGGTCACACTTCTATTTGATGAAGAGGAGTCAATGTAGCAACAGAAGACTGGCGATCTGGACGCAAAGTCATGCGTGCATCAGACAGGCTACCCAATCGGCCGAGTCTGAAGGTCCTCGGTTCGCGTGCAAAATGTCGTCAGGTATCAGTCACGGCGATAAGATGACGGGCACGTCGCGCGGTGCGGACTGCCCTCTTTGGGTTGGGACTTTGTAGGTGGTGTTCATCTTTGGCCGCTCCACCTCGACACTGACACCTCACGTTGGGGAAGACCTAGCCACTACTAGCCTAAGTACATACTACGTAGGAGGAAGCCAGCGGTTCAATGTGAATCCTACCTTGTTAGTCAAGCTCGCTTCCCCAATTAGACGACGCGGGCATGAGATGTCAAGCTTGAAGCAGGACCCCCTGTCTCTGTGACTTGCCTGAAAGGTTCGTGAATGATACTGCCTGCAGCCAGATGGACGCGGGCAACCATGGGAAACAGGGCTCCTCTTGCTTGGAGCGGCGCATGTGACAGACCGGATGGCGGCAATGCTCCCCAGAGAGAAGCGGCGCTCCAGAAGTCCAGAAGGTACTCCGCTATCTTCGCTGCACCGACAGGGGTAAAAGGCGCTAAGAAATAATCAAGAAGACGCCATGCCCCACGATTTTCTGCTCCTCGGGATCCAGCCGTTGGCTCTGCTTACCACAGCACTTGCACAGCAAAGACCCTCCAACCTCTACTTCCTTGACCCCGGTCGCCGGTGATGCTCTTGCTGTGGCGTTGTTAACGTCGGAACCTTCCAAAGTTCCAGCTCCTACCTAGCCTTGATCTTCGTCCCGTCCCCCAGTCTCCAATTCTTTTTTTTTCCTCTCTTGAGCCCCCTCGTTCGCATTCCCTTCTACTCCGCGCATTTATAAATTGGAATTCGCATCCACCCGGGTTGCTCTCCGTTTTCCACGATTCCCACCTCCATTGCTTGCTCGTCGCGAATCGTATCACCCCACTGTGCCGAGCTACAACAACGGCAGTAGACAAGATGCCCGGCAGCTCCCGCATTCCCGCAAGCTTGCGCGAAGGACTGAACCAAGTCAAGCGTAGTCGACAGGCGAGTCCATTGTTGGTCCTGAACCTCGACTTGTGAGTTTCCAATGCTTCCATCTTTCCACTTCGGTATCTTTCCCGAAGTAACCTCGGCATCGGCTAACCTCAAGAACCCCGGTCCGTAGGTTGCGCAACATCATTTTCTTCCTCTTCGTCTGGCGATGGACGCGCAAGACGTTTCTGAAGCTCAAGGGCCGCGGCCTGATTGGCAGCATTGTCGAGATCTACATTGATATCCGTAGAGTTCTGTATGGCTACTTCCTGCGCGCCCCCGGTGTCCGCGGCCAGGTCCAGAAGCAGGTCAACGAGACCATGGCGAAACTGCAGACCAAGATGATCCCCGCGAACCTCACCCGATACCTGACCCTACCCAAGGAGGGCTGGTCCGAAGACGATGTCCGAAAGGAACTTGATACTCTGGCGAACATGGACCACACGAGATGGGAGGATGGCTTTGTCTCTGGCGCCGTCTACCACGGCGAGGACGAGCTGTTGAAGCTGCAGACTGAGGCGTTTGGCAAGTTCACCGTCGCGAACCCCATTCATCCGGATGTCTTCCCGGGCGTGAGGAAGATGGAGGCTGAGGTTGTTTCCATGGTTCTGTCCATGTTCAACGCTCCTCCCGGCGCTGCCGGTGCCACCACCAGTGGTGGTACTGACAGTATCTTGTCGGCTTGCCTCGGCGCGCGCCAAAGAGGATACTTTGAGAAGGGTATCACTGAGCCTGAGATGTACGTTCTCTCCGTGAGGCTATGTCATTGTGATCTTTCTTACTGACGCGCACTAGGATCTTGCCAGAAACCGCTCATACTGCGTTCCGTAAGGCCGGTGACTACTTCAAGATCAAGATCCACTACGTCTCCTGCCCTGCGCCCAACTACCAAGTCGATGTCCGTGCCGTCTCCCGCCTGATCAACAGCAACACGGTTCTGTTGGTTGGCTCCGCACCGAACTTCCCTCACGGCATCATTGATGACATCAGCGCTCTATCCAAGTTGGCTATCAAGAAGAAGCTGTGCCTCCACGTCGACTGCTGCCTCGGTTCCTTCATGGTCCCCTTCTTAGACAAGGCCGGTTTTGAGACCGAGCTCTTTGATTTCCGTCTCAAGGGCGTCACGAGCATCAGCTGCGACACCCACAAGTATGGATTTGCGCCCAAAGGTAACTCTACGGTTTTGTACAGGTCCGCAGAACTCCGCAAATACCAGTACTACGTGTCGCCAGATTGGTCTGGCGGTGTGTACGGTTCTCCTGGTATGGCCGGTTCGCGTCCAGGTGCCCTGATTGCCGGTTGCTGGGCTAGTTTGATGAAGGTCGGTGAGGCTGGTTACATTGACGCTTGTGTCAAGATCGTCGGCACTACCAAGAAAATCATTGAGAAGATTCGCGAGACACCAGCGCTGGACAACGAGCTGGAGATCTTGGGCAAGCCTCTGGTGTCCGTTGTTGCCTTCACCGCCAAGAATCTCAACGTTTACGACATTGCCGACGGCATGTCAGAGAAGGGCTGGCACTTGAACGCTCTTCAGAACCCTCCTGCAATCCACGTCGCCGTCACTCTTCCGATTACCAAGGTCTACGAGAAGTTGTTGGCCGACCTTGAGGCTGTTGTCGAGGCCGAGAAGGAAAAGGAGAGAGTTCGCGCCGTTGAGGGTAAGGGTGTCAAGGGCAAGGCCGTCGGTGACTCGGCTGCTTTGTATGGCGTTGCCGGATCCCTGCCGAACAAGAGCGTGGTTGTTGACCTGGCCAACGGATTCTTGGACTTGTTGTACAAAGCATGAAGAAGGAAGCAGAAAATCGGTTGGGAGTTTTGTAAGTGCATTAGCTGGCGAGCATTCGATCAGGACTCGGGTTTGACAAAACCCCAGTAACATATAACGGTGTAACATATCTATTTATTCAGCGTCTCTTTTTGCCTTTCACCGATATCGCTCCCACTTTGCTCTGCTGACCATACCAAGCTTACCAAGCTAATGGGGATTGGCTCGCTGTTACTCTGTTGCGTCCGGCTCGAGGATCGGGACGGTGCGAACGGGACCCCCCACATGTTCAAGACATGAACGAGTGTGTTCGATCGGAGCTTTCCTCTCTCACGGATCGAGTTGTCTCAATTTCTATCGGGTATTTTTTTTTTATCTTCACGGGCGGTTAGGGTTGTCTCAGGACTACCGCTCTGACCGCAATTCGCCAGCAAACGCGAGTGCAGAAGACTAAATCGAAGTCATTGGCTGCCAATATCGCAATTAATAGATCTCGATTAAAAGCGGCCTGCCGCGCGGACATGCGAACCAGTTTCTATCAAAAAAACTCGGTGGACGCCTTGCCGCGGACGGCCAACGGGACATCCGGAGCGTCACGGCCCAATTCCGGGGGGCCACCCATGGTATCGTTCTTTGTCTCCTGCACTTACATGCAGCATCCCACTCCGCACTATCGAAAGCTTCCTCGTTCGCATCACATCTAAAGAGCCCTCGCCTCTTCAAGCTGCGTCTCAAGTCGAGGCCTGTGATCTTATCGGGGACCGCTTGGTGGCACCGCAACAAAACTCCAAGAAAAACTCTAGCGATGGGACGCCCGCGCTGACTGCCGGCTCAGGGCCAACGAGCAAACATGGCGTCGCCTGACTTGGATTGTCCAACGCGATTCAAGCTAAGATATCTTGGGCGACACGGGAACCATGACTTGGGACACAGCAATTCGAAACGACGGGAATAATGATATTTTGGTCTAGTTTCCATCCCAGGCGTAAACTTTCAGCTTCCCGAACGCGTGTGGCCTCAAGATCGAAACCCTCCCGATGTCATCGCATCCTCTGGCGACGGCTACATCCTGGACACCCTGACGTGGGGGAATCCCACCAGACGACTTCCTTTTTCATCTCAGCTTCCTTCGGTGACGCATCGAAATGCTACCGATGTGCCGCTGTACCAGGCCATGACATTACCATGCAGACAACTTTGCGGCCCAATGAGACAGGGATGGGCCTCGTTGGAGAAACGGTGCACAGCAGGAAAAGGGCAACTTTGTGGCCTCTACGCTGCCTTCGCCCGACTACTTTGTACGAGCTACCACCACGTACACGCAGCCTGCTGATTTCCTTTTCTCTCGCATCTATTATGCTAATTTCTCCCTCCTATCTCCTGAGTGAGGGGAACACCACATTCTTATCCCTCGCATTTTGAAAATGCACTTTTCCGCATCACCCATGCCGCTCGTGGTGTTGCCTCCGTGATCGACCCTTTCATACCTTCGTGCTGCACCTTATCAATCCACCTGACGCGAGGGGGAATAGATGTCAACATCTCATTGGGGAGCCCTCTCAAGTGTCCCATCGGCGTCCGAAGAGGGTATGGGTCTATAACTATTCCCGCCTTTTCTGCTGTCTATTTCACCGTCGCTTCGGTCTGCCACTTTTCGTCGTCTATTTGCTCGGTATATACGGCTACCCTTTCCATCGCGCCAACAGCCCAATTGCTCTGGTTCCATTCAATCTTACACACTCCTCGTTGTTTGCCATCGTACAAGCGATCTAGTTTGAGCTTTGCGGAAGTTCGCATGCTGCGGCGGACTGCATATCCAATAACAATAACATCGGCAACCGGCAACCGGCCATGACTACCAACCCGGCTGGCAAGGCCATGCGGCCAAGGCTGAACACCACGACGAACTGGTCCTTGCCGAGAGATCAGGGGGGCCGCCCGGAGGCGGAAGAGCTTTCCCCGCTGTCACCAAGGCGGGCTGCTGGGGAGTACGACTGGGGACAACAAAAGGGGAGCCATGGTTATGGAAACCGGGTGGATGAGCAGCAGCAGCAGCAGCAGGGCTCGGAGAGCTTGATTATGGAGACGCTCACTTCCAAACCTCGCGATAGTCTGGGGAGCATGCCGTCTGACATGTTGGAGGAGTTGAGGAAGATTATCAAAGAAGAAGGTCAGTTGCGTTGAGTTCTGTATCTTGAAAAGCTGAAGTTTACTGATGATGTTGTCCAGTTGCCCAAGTCGCTCAAGTTGCTCAACTGAAGACCAATGAGACTGGCACCCCCGTCGACGCAGCGCGGTTTCCCCTCTTATCTAGCCAGAATCCCTCCTTTACGCCGGCGTACCCCAGCCCGCCCCCTTCCATTATCGACACATTCGGCGCCTCCAAGAACTCATCGCCACGAGATCACAGTCCGGAGCTCGCACACGCAAAGCCTTCATCGGCACCTCCTCCTCCTCCTCCTCAACAACCATCGCCGCCAACGTCGGTTCCCGTACCTGCGCCTCAGTCCACCCCGCCCATCAGACCCCAGCAAAGGGGAGTTCACTTTAAAAAGAGGGCATCACCGGTCATTCATTGCCAACCGCGTGTTGAAACGGATAATGAAGACGAGGTCTCGCCGACTGCTCCTACGTCGCCGCGAGTTGAGTTGAGTAGTGTTGACAAGGCGTGGGGTGTGCTGTTTGACTCGGAGGGATATCCTACCAATCGACTGAACAGCGTGCTCAGGGGCCTCGCTAATTTTATGGTACACCATCTCTCGCCCTCTTCATGAGTTTCTCTACGGCTAACATGAAACTCAGGTTACGGAGTTTGGGTCACCAGACACACTCGTCGTTACTCCTGATAAGATGCTGATGCTGTACACCAAATACAAAGTCGAGCCTGAGAGGTTCCAATATGAAGGTGATCAGCCTTCTCATTCATACTCCGTAAACAGCTGCTGACCCTTCACCAGACATCTTCAAGTCTCGGTCCAAAGACGCATTGGAGCGAATCGAGTTCCTGTACCAAGATCTGGACTGCCAATACCACCTCGTCCAGGCCGCACCCAGATCTCACCCTAACATCCCTGGCCTGACCCCCGCAGGCTTCGCGAAATGGATGATCAGCAACATCCTCGCCTACCCAGACCCGGAAGCTAGACGTCTACACGCCATCATGACCGCCCTCCCCATCAACGCCGACGGACCTCTCCTCAACGGCAAACCAGAGAGACTCCCCAGACAGCTATCACGGCATCTCTTCCCAGAGACCCACGACAAAAAGGTCCGCAAGATCATCGACGAGGCCATGTGGGACTGCTTAGAAGACGTCGCGCCGCCCCTGCCATCCATCCCGAAGTCTCGACCGGCTCCACCGCCCCAGGATATGACCAGGCTCCCGGAGGCCAACACGCACACCCGCCGGTCCGGAAGCGACCTCCCCAAGCGCCCCGCGTCCCTCCCGCACCGATCCAGGACATACGATCGAGATGCCCACCGCGTTGAGCCGCACCCGGCACGTCTCCCGCGCGCCAACTCGGACGCGGGCGTTTCCTTGCCCAGACATCGTGACTTGCCTCCCCCTCCAGTCGGTCGGCACTCGACTTCCTCTCAACGACAGCGGAGCCCGCCGCCGACGAACAGGTATACCGCTTCGCTGCCATCTATCTCGCAGCACCACGTCAGCGGTGGTGGCGGCGCTGCGTCGCCTTCGCCTTCGGCGTATGAAATCCGCGGTGGGGCTGATGCTAATTACGGGGTGTATTCTGGTCGAGACCGGGACGGACATCGCGGCTCGGAGTCGAGGGATGAGTCGCCGCGGTCTCCGGGAAGTGGAAGACGCGGCGGGGTGGGTGATAGAGGCCCTACGTGGGAGGACGTGTATAGTCGGAAGGGGTCTGCTGGGGGGAGGGGGTCGAGCGTTGATGGGGGATCTCATCGGTCGTTCCGGTGATTTGATCCACGGCTACTTTTGGTCTGTTCCATGACGAAAGGTTGTGTTCGGGGATTCACTGATGATGGAAAGGAAAAGCTCTGGGGGAGGGGGGGGGGGAGTGAATGAAGATATGACAGTAACGATTTACGCCATTCTCTTTTGTCGGGGGATGCCTGGGTGAGGGTATTTGGGCCGGTTTAGTTTGATTGCAAGTTGAATGTAGGGTGGGCTGTATGATCTGCAGATGGCTGTGTCTTTGTAACGTAGCGTTGGATAGGTTTCTTGTTACAAAAGTCTATTTCCTGATATCTTGTTTCAACATTTCTACCAGGTGTCATCTCGGCATACCGGGTCAAAGGTCTTCAGAGTGATAACTTTCGATAAAAGGCTATGTGCGCTTATACTACTTTGGTTGCCTACGAGTCAAACGTGCACCCATATGTTACGCATCTTGTATAAGGGTTGATACTCTGCGGCACTAGACTGGAAGCTTAGAGGGAGACGGCTTTGGTTGTACTTTCTTTCAACTAGGTCCACGAGATGGTGGAAGGTCCCTGAGCTACTGCCAGATTTGTCTTGAAGAGAACCGATTCGGTGATGCGGAGACTTTCTTCCGGTCGAGGGCATTCCCGAATTTTTAGCCATATCAACTTGTCAATTCCCACCCGGCGATATAGGAAATCTTTTGAGCAAAAACATACACCTATGTAGGATCACAGTACATCTCAAATCCATGTTGAAAACTAAGAAGGTAGAAAGACAAAAAAGAAAGGATGTAGGGAGGGGGATAACTGACCTTATAATTCACGCCCCTGCCCAGATTCGAACAGCGCGCCCCTCGGGCCAGCACGGCTTCATTGGAGTATTTGTTTTAACATCTCTGCGTCAGAGTGTAAACCACCCGGCCAATCCGGATGGGTGCTGGTGACAGTAACACGCGTTTGGATGGACTATATACCCTCGGGTGATGCCTCGAGGAAGGAGGGAAGGAAGGAAGGGGGGTGGTCAGATGACTGAGGCTCACCTACCTCTTTGGGGAGAGAATGGGAAGGATGTGTTGTTTGCAAATACCAATTACGCCATGATGGAATCTCGGCAGTGCCTGGTATTGTCCGGTTTGAGTCTCTGTACCTCGCGCTCCCGCTTTCATCGTTGAAGATGCTGGTACAAAGCTTACGCCGAGGAGATCAGTCTGCTCAAGGAAAGACACGGATTGTGTTTATCTCTCCTCAAACACCGTTTCGAGGCATAGTATGTCTAGCTCGTCTCCATGAGAACTTGGACCTCTCTGCTGTTTAGCCACTCCTTCTTATTTCCAGAATCTCTTGACCTGTAATGGTGTCATGATAGTTAGGTTCCTAAGTCTTCTCACCAGGGGTTAGGAATCGGACTTGTTCCCGTCTCATACGCTGCTCATTGTTCAGGACCCCATAAGTTCAACGCCACCTAGCCGCACATCTGAATCACGATGTCCAAACTAGATGTTCTCAATGACAAGGGACCGAGGAAAAGCGATCATAATCTTTCTAAGTTTCTTCAGTCACCAGGAACTCTCACAAGGTATGTCTCCTCCGTCGTTTTCAAGAGGAAAATGGTCTTGGGCCTGCAAAGTCCGAAAGCATCGTTATCAGTATTAACCCTTCCGTACACATGGTAACCTCCATGTGTCCCCTTTCCTTGTGGGGCATACCGAGGAAGTAGAAGGAAGCTAGATTTCACAACCAAGTTCTATCTATGTTATTCTAGATATCCTATATACAGACACCCATCCTACCCCCTTGGTCGACTCCGTTGGTCGAAGTAAACCGCCATAGCCGTACATCATCATGGTCTCCTCAACAGGGTCTCAAACATTTTCGTTCAAATTGCCTCAGTACGGCGGAATATCATGAGGCAGGTGCCTCATCTCGAGCATGTTCATATGCGGCCTAGAACCGTTGTATTACGAAACCTTCCACGTCAAACTTTCCACAATGATAGTCTCCCACGCCGTTGCGAAACCTACTCAACTCATGGAACCTGTGTAGACTGGGTCATACACACCTCTCTGGATACTCTGATATTGATCCATGGTATATAAACAGAGACATCGGCCCAAAACAACTCCCAAGAATGCTATGGTGTATCCCACTCTATACACATACAAACCCCCTTGTTGACTTCTCTCCATTCCAAATCAATCGTTCTTCCCACCACACACTTGATCTGGTCAGGTCTGGGCTTCTGTTACCTACTGCAATCCCACCGACATAATCATCTACAATGGCCACCAAGTTCGCCATCCGTCTGCACAACCGCTACACAACCCTCAAGGCCAAAGCCAAGGGACTTCGTGTCGGCAGCAATAGCAGCAACAGCAGCAGCAGAAACGGCGGCCAGAAACAGTGCCTCTGGTGCAGGATCCTCAGGCGCAAAATCCCTGAGCCCCTTATGAGGAACGCAGACATTCACGACTGGATGTCCTCGGACGAGACCCTCATCGACCACCAACCGGAGTTGCAAGTAATCCAAGACCTCAGCGGCAACTTCAACCCCGGAGAGAGATTCCCCTTCCGTGAAGGGGCTGTTAGTCGCCTCTCAGCTAGGTCCAACGCACCCTCCAGCGTCTACTCTTCAGATGAGACTTGGGATGACAGTGAATACAGCAACAGCAGCAGCGATGGCGACGACGATGACGACGACGACTGGTCCACGGTCTACTCCTTCGACGAAGGAGAGGAGGAAAACTTCTACGACGCAGAAGATGGTATCCCAAGGCCAACCAGGGACATGACCCCCCTGCCGTCAACGTACTCCCCCTTCACATCAGACCTCCCCAGTCTCCCGTCCGCGTACTGCAACCTTTGGGCGTTCTAGGAGGACAGACCCAGAGTTCCTTCAGTCCTCAAAGTCGTGGAATCTTGCATGAGCAGCGAGAGCAAATGGCGGTATGGAGTGGCCGCACAGCGGACACCGTGCCGTCACTTCGTCGCCTTCCCATGATCCGCCATCGTCGTGGTCAAACTCTGCCACCTCCATCTCTTCAACCTCGTGATCTGAGATTGACTGACGTTGAGCATCATTAACACCATCACCCCCATCACCGCCATCGTCTTCCACGATGGTCGTATCAATCTTCCACTGTCGCAGAACGTCATCCTGCTTGCGGAACATGACAGAGATGTCCCGCCCTACACCTGGCCCAGCCTCACTACCACTAGCGGCCAAATTCGCAACGCAGACATTCATAAGTTGCAGGTTCCACTTATGACCGGCCGGGAAGAACTTCTTCATCGTTGGCAGCAAGATCTCTGTCGTCAGTCGTTCCGCCAAGGAATCAGGTGTCTCTTTTGTGTTGAAGACAAAGTTAGGCATAGGCTGAGATCGGGAAATACGTTGAAAATCCGGATGCGAATGCCACGACGTCCCTTGCGGCGCATCAGATGAAGGCCATTGCCGAATGGACAGTCTTAGTGTCTTGGGGTGCGCAATCCATCTCTGGCTGCCCGGCTCTATCGAGTCGTCGCTGTTGTCATCTGTCAGGAGATCGGTCCGCATCCGCCGGATGAGAGAAGCAGATATCTTGCGCAGCTCGCCTTCAATCTGACTCATGCTCTCCAATCCTTTGTACGTGTCCTCGATGCTAATCTGTGACGGCACATCGCTCGCGTCCTTGACCTCCGTATCGTCGACCCCGTGCAAGAGGCCCCACACCCTCTCTCCAACACCCCGTTCAGAACCAGGGCCGCCGAGCAGCTTCTCCAGCGCGTCGGGCGAAGTCTGCTCGTGGGTCCGTACGTCGTAGACTTTGAGTGGCGATGTCTCCCTGTCAGCATCGTCGGGTCCCAGGGGCGTCGCGAGGTACTTTTCCTCAAGCGCGCGCGACGTCTTGAAGCCGATGCCGGGGACTTTTCTGACTGAGTGCGCGTCCATGAACTCGGTGACAACAGCATCGTCGAAAGACATCAGAGTCGTCTGGTTACGCGGCTTGTTTACACTCCCCACCAGCTTGCTGAGCAGCTTGTTGGTGGATATCCCGACCGAGGCAGTGAAGCCAAAGTCCTCCTCGAGCTTCATGCGCAGATGGAAGGCCAGGTGGCTCGCCAGAAGCAGGCGGATGTAGGCAGAGTTGTTGAGATCTCCTGTACCAGGTGTCTTGCCATACACGCAGCCCGCAACTTTGGTCAAGTCACATAGGAACCCCTTTTCTGGATTCTTCTTGGAAAGGTGGAAGAATGACTCTGATAGAGAGGCCCGGTTGAGACAGAACATGTTGTAGTTGATGATATCCGTGACGTCTGTCCATAGTCAGCCAACTTGACCCTTTTTCCGCGTTTTTAAGGTGCAAATAGCACACACACCCATGAAAACTTCATCGAACCCCAGCCTCTCCGCCTTGCGGTTCCACGAGTAGCCCCTCATGAAGCCGAAAAGCTTCTTGCTCGTATCCCGAAAGGGCGTCAGGTCTTCGCCCTCGATGATGACGAGATTCGGGCATAGCCGCTTGGCCTCTGTGATGAGCATGAGCTTCCTGACCCCTTGCTTGCGGGCGACGTAGTTGCACGTGGCCAGGATGTTCTTCTGCTTTACTCCCAAGGGCAGCGCCTTTAGCCGGGGGTCTCGGTTCTCAAAAACCGAGGCATAGAAGCAGTCATAGTCCTAGGGAAAGAATTAATGAATGAAATATCATGCTTCCAATGTCGAGAGGTTGAAATCTGGAAATAGAAAAGGGGCATTCTTGGTGCTTGTGAATTTGAGGGTTAACGAACAAAGTGGAGTATAATTCGATCATCTCTTCGTCTCGGTGCCCGTTTTCTGGGCAGCTCCATGGTTTTCGACTTGACTTTGGCTATTACCCATGAGAGTATTCCGTACCTAGCCTCTCTTCGATCGGTGCACGCCTTCCGGGTGAATCAACTCGATGCGTGTGTGACCCCCACCGCCTCCGGTCCTCTCTGACGTTGTTTGGTCGTTTTGACAGAAACGGGGTAAGGAAACCGGGGACTGGGGGCGTGTGGTGTCAGTTGTGAACGGTGCGGCCTGGGCAGAAAAGCACGGGGGCGCACGGGATAAACGGTCGCTTATCTCACGCCCCGAGTCGCCCGACCCGACAGGTACGGATTGTCCACACGACACCGGCGGCCGCTTCCGAAGGGCAGAAGGTAACACCGGTACCTAGTGCCTTGCCCAGCGAGGTAAAAGGTATGGACAACTAATTTACCTACTTTCCGTCGGACTTTCCAACGCATGACTTGCTGCCCATCTCGCCTTCCATTCTACCGTGAACTGCAACGTGCCAGAAACTGCGTCGTTCCGGGCAGGCAACGACCCAAACGTCTCTCTGAAGAATGGAAGTACGAGAAGTGCATTTAGTTTCCCGCCTGCGCTTCTCGGCGCTGCAGATATCTCCAAACAACCAGTCACATCACCCTTCTGATGCATGTCGACTCTTACAGAACCTCTCTGAAACCGCACTTGTCGACATCCGATCAACATGCATAGCTGATGCCAACAACTCTGCCTACTAAACTTGCCTCGGCGCATCAACTGTCGCCCTACTTTCGGATGCCCAGATGGGCGTTTCTGAACCACTGTCACCAAAATCATTGGACGCCTTCCCAACATCCCAAACTGCCAAAGATACGCTCAGTCGTCCGAATTGTTCCAGCCACCCGATCTCTTTCGCACTTGCTTGCCCGCCTGTCTACATACTTGCCTACCTACCTAAACCTTCGCGCTATACACGCATCGCGCGCCCGCCGCCGACGACGCCGCCGCTGTCCACCCTCCGCCAACCACCTCACCTATTACCGCACACCTACCTCAGTACACGACGACGAATCGCTCCAAGGCCCATCCCGAACGTATGACAACTAACCAAGACCGCCCCAAAACAAGGGAATAGGGTCCCCTCTTGCGCTGCACGACACCCAGCCCGCCAGCCCACCGCTTGCCAAAAAAGCGACCCTCTCCCTACTAATAAGGTAGCTTCTCAGAGGAAAGCGTAAAGCGTTCACCCCCAGTGGCCCCCCATCCCTCTTCGTGCCTAGCCAACGAGAAGCCGTCCATCTCGCATGACAACCCATCCGTAAGCTCACATAGCCCACACCACCTCCACTACCTACCTTCCCTTCCCACTTCCGAACTACCAGACTCCAACCGTAAGAAGGTAGGGGACCTTTCCAAAGTCACCACAGGCCCGATGGCTAGAGAGCCAAAGAGGGTCACGAGCAAAAATTCAGTGTGGTATCTCAGGGTAGCCTCTGCGTTGGTCGAAGGGAGGGGAATAGGCAGATTGTTGAACCACGCCGCCGCCGCCGCCGCCTCGCGCGCGGACTGAAGAAGTTGAAGAATAATAAGAACCCCGCTTTCCACCATCGTCTGCCTCCCTCTCCCCTCCCTCTCTCTCTCGTCTCATCTTCACAAAACTACAACACTTGCTACTCATACAAGACACAAAAGAATCTCACCAACAACACATCACACAACCAAATAACCGCAAACATGCAGCCCATGACCAACGCCCACACCAACGCCTGCCCCAAGTGCGGCGCCGCCACTGCCTCTACCGCAAAGACCTGCTCCTCTTGCGGCGCTGTAAGCCTCACCCTTCTGGACCCCTCACTCATATCAATACCAATCACCTCACCTTACCTCACCTCGTCTGAACTTTACAACCCCTCCCCTCACTCTTACATCAGTAAACATACACTGACATACGCTGCCCTACCATAGACCTGCCCTGCGTAAATTCAGTCCTTCAGTCTTTTGCGAAATCGCAGCTCATTAGCGAAAGCTATGTTCATCGCAGAAATGTCACCTGACGTGGACTGAGAGTTGGACGAGACTTTATAGACGGAATGGAATGAGATCAGGAACACACACGCCCTCACACTCCTTCACGCACAATGTCGTGTTATTGTCATTGCTCATCCAGCCAAACAAACGCACGGGGTTCGGACGGGGTATACGACGAACAAGAGGTTCACTATCGTCTTCTTGTTTCGATGAACCAATCTCCAGAGACAAGAACTCACTCCCGTCCCCCGTACGCATGAGAACAAACTAAATCAAATAAATACCCCCCTTTGAGAATTCAAACGCTATACATGCCCATGTACGCGTTCCCGTAGCATCGCATAGTCCCCTCTCGTCCACAAACCAAACAGGGCCATCCCCTTCACCAGAGGCGGGGCAGCGTAATCAACGTGACACCGCTACCCAACTCTGAAAGCAACGGCTACCCTAAAATCATTCACCTATACATTTTAAAGTCGCCTATGTTTAGAAACTCGTTACCGTCATGTGCCGTCCTGTTGGTAAAAGACAGAACCAGGCAAGAGCTAGTAAGTATACTACACACTGCGACTTCCATCCCAATAACATCACCGATATAACCCGGTGTTGCCTGGGCTACCTTACCTTTTCGTGTCGCGACCTCTCTGTTCGAGATCCGGTGCCTTGCCTCTGTCCATTGTTCATCTCATCTTCTATACCCCCTGACACGTGAGAATGACGGCGATGACGATGCTGTAGAGGAGTCAGAGCTGATGTCAGTGTGGACCAACTTTGCAATGGGTACAAGGCGACACGATAATCAACGTGAATGGCAATGGACGGTCAGAGGCGGTTTGAGTTATCAAAGACCTGGATTGAGAGAATCGACAAGAGAGAAGAAAACGCAGCCAGGAAACACATGTCCATCTCCGCCATCTAAAGCTGCGAGGCGTCAAAAGAGAAAAATAACACGACAAGATTTATGATGTAGCCGGATTCGTCGCAATACTATAGCCAGACGAGCCGATTCCACAGCTGAAGACCGTTGCCATACCGCCGTTCCCCGAGGTTACCAAACAACTCACTGTCCATCGTCACCCAGCAGCTGTCGGCCGCGCCAGCCAACAAGCCCTTTCCTCCCCCGAGACCGTGAGAGACATCCGTGACAGAAATCCTTTTCCTCGCAGCTTCTTCTCGTGGGGATTGTGGCTAGCTGTTCCTTCTCCCAGTCACCGTTCGGCAGGGAATGACATGGATTGAGTAAAAGACGCCCCGCAGAACCAGATACGGTGACACGCCGATCGATGTGGTGCCAGGTGGGTTATGAGACACAATGTTGAGCAAAACTCCAAATTCCGAGAACCTATGCAGGCAAATATTGCCCCCGCCTTCCAAACCGCCACCAAAAACCCTTTCTCATCCGAAAAGTTGGGAAAAGACAATGGAGGCTGGGACCTTGATGATTACAAATGGGGGTTGTGGTCGAAGAGGGAGAAAGGGTTTGGGAAGTTCGCCCATTGGGTATTTAGAGCATCAAGCACTTGTGCTTCTTGCCGCTGCTCCGGCTGCGGGAGAGCAGAGCAGCGCGCGTGGCGTGCTCGAAAACCTCGCGGACACCCTCGTTCGTCTTGGCGGAGCACTCGAGGTACTTGTAGGCACCGATCTTCTTGCGGACTTCCTCACCCTACGAAACGAAATTAGCATGTAATGGTGGCAGCGAGAGACGTCTGAGGCCGCCGAGCATCTTAAAATGCCCGTGACGACCCCTATCCCGGTGGGAAAGATACGCTTACCTCTTCAGGGGAGACGGGCTTTTGGCTGGTCTTACGCAGCTCCTCAATCGTCTTGGAGTCGTAGCGGAGATCCTTCTTGCAACCGACAAGAATGATGGGCAGACCCTGGCAGAAATGCAGGACCTCGGAGATCCACTATGGGAAGAAGTGCACGTATTAGCGAAAGTTGCTTATCGGGTGCAGTCATTCAATCCGAAAGGGGAGAGAAGAAAAAGCAAGCGTACCTTCTCCTGAACGTTGTCGAGGGAGTCGGGGGAGTCGACGGCGAAGCAGATCAGGATGACGTGGGAGTCGGGGTAAGAAAGGGGACGGAGACGGTCGTAATCTTCCTGGCCAGCCGTATCCCAAAGGGCCAGCTCGACGTGCTTGCCATCAACCTCGACATCGGCGACGTAGTTCTCGAAAACGGTGGGAACGTAGACCTGAATTAGTTGTCAGAATATTGCGGGATCGGAAACGGATTCTTGAATGGCGGGTGTGGCATCGGTTGGCTGGATTGTTGATGGGTTGATACATCTCAGGGTGGCTTCGTGATGGGGGAAACAGGAGGCGGTAGGCCGCGTCGGCGTGGGGGGGAAAAGGGTAATCTTACCTCAGGGAAGGTACCCTTGGAGAAGACACTATTGAACCAGTCAGCATGATGAAGTCTTTGATAATGAGGTATTGTCTGTCTGTCTGTGTTTTCATTTTTTCGGGGATGCGACGATGCAGGATTGGTTGTCGCTGGGGGCCCAGGCGGAAGCGGAGAGGGAGGCAGACAGACGACAGAAATCGGTAGGGAGAGACGGGTCAATACTCACATCAACAAGCAGGTTTTACCGCAGGCACCGTCGCCGACGATGACGAGCTTACGGCGGATCTCAGCCATGGTGTCTGTATTGGATGTGAAAGTAAGAAAGTGAGCGAGCGATGAAGATCGGATTGAGTTGCGGTCGGTTGTGAGGAGGTTGAGCTTGTTGGCGGAGACGAGGAAGATGGAGAAGGAAGAGCTGCGTCGGAAGGGGGAATCTGAAGGTGGAAGAGAATGGGATGGGTAGAAGTAAGGTAAGGTCACAGTAGTACCTTACGGGTGGAGTTCACTTGACGACGACGCGGGTGCAAGCAATGGAACAGCAGGGCAGATTTGTGTTGGGGGGCGTGGTGTGTGGTGCGTGGTGCGTGGTGGTGGTCCTGGGTGGTGGACGGGTGGTAAGGTACTTCGTAGACAAGTGGTGTCAGAGGAGGCGGGAAGGAAGGTGTGAGAAAAAAGAGAAGGGAGCCAGGCCAGCGAGAGCGAGCGGGAAGACCTGGCACTGGCAGCTGCAGTGGGAAAATGGGGGGAAAGGGAGACAAAGATTTGGGTGGAGGACAGGCCAGTGGACAGGGTGCAGGCGCAGGCGCAGGCGCAGGCAGGCCTAGTTGACTGCGTAAAAAAAGGCGACTAGGGGGAAACGAGGTCTCCGTACCGGCCCAGGTACCTTAGCCTTTAGGCAGGGTAAGGTACCTCGTAGGGAGGTGCAGGTGCAGGCAGATGCAGGACAGGACGGGATGGTCTAGGCTTTGTTTTTCTGGCAGTGACTTTGTTGACTTTTGTTTCTCGCCCAGTGTCATCTGGAGACACACATACGCAATCGCTGGATGCTGGAGAAGATGACGGGGATAGACAGTCATGAGGAGAACAGCACGGAGTAAGATATGGGGACCAGATAGGTAGGGAGTGATAGAACGAGCACAGGCAGAGAGCATGATAGAAGCAAGCGTATGGCTGTACCACGCGATATTGACGTACCTCGGATAGCAACTTGAGTCGCCGGTATCTTTTGATAATGAGATGAGACGGGATTATCTCAACCTTACCTCAAGGTAGGAGAAGATGCGGAGTATCAAATGCTGTTGTGCTGATATCGTGTTTCCCGATACCCAAGGTAAGGAAGGTATCTAACAGAGCAGGTACCTAGATCAGGTACTTTCTTCTCTGCCAGGCGTATGTATATGGGTGTGTGTCGTAATCCGATCACTGGTGTGTGTTTCCCAGCTGAAATATTGGAATTGAAGGCGAGGATACGGTAACGGTGACGGTGGATGGGGCCGGGGAACTGGATGGGTCTCTTTGCTCTCTCCTCTCTCTCTCACTCTACTTCTCTGTATGTCTCTCGCTCTGCTGATTGTTGACCTCAGTCTTCCGTCTGACTAGTTTGTTTGACCGATGACTGGACTGGGCTGGCAGTTTGGTCTGGCACTGGCAGAGGGACGAGACTGCAACGGGGCTGTCCGACCAGTGAATCCCAATCCAATGTGATGAGAGGGAGCCGGGACTGTTGCTCGCGTCCTTGTTTTTTCCCTGCCTACCCTGTAAGTTTTCCACGAAGCAGGTATCTTTTAGCTGCGGTATCCATATAATCAGTACTTGTTTTCTTCTGGTTGGCGGGTGAGTGCGCGCGTGTCCTTATTATTAAGGTACAGAATCAGGTCCTGAGGCAGCCACACAAAGCGAATTGAATTGCAGGTTGGAAGGAAGGGGCCGTTACGGATACAGGGGCGGTGGCTTTCGGGGCTCCTCACCTCGGTGTCTTTCAATTGGGTGGCGACTTCCACTACTGCGCCGTCGTCTGGCCCCTGTCTTGCTGGCCTTGTGGGAATCTCACGCGCTGGGCCACACCTGCCAACTGCTTAACAGCAAGGTTCCTCAGTGTTGTTGGCGCCTGTATGGACTGCTTCAGTGACGTGACGTAAGGTGCCCTCTGGATGGATGATTCAGTAAAACTTCAGACGATGCTGACCGGTCCGGAATGGACAGAGAATGTGACTGCAGATTTCGGCAGGCAGGAAGAGGCAGCTACCGTGCTTGCGTGCCTCTGTCAGACCTGTTGCATTGGCGGACAATCTGGAGGTACAAAAGGTAAGGCAGGAAAGTGGTGGGTGACAGATGTGGAAGCCGAGGGTGATGCGATAAGGATAAGGCAGGGTAGCTGCGTCGATAGTGGTTGATCTGCAATGTCAATGTTTGGAAGCCAGGCGTGCCATGTTGCCAGACGACCAAGACCATTCGCGATCAAGGGAACCGGCGACGAACAAAGCTTTCTTATGAAGTGCCGAGCTGCTGGCCTTGCCTGCCTATCCATCCTCCAATCCGCGTGTACCCCTCGATTTCTCCTCAGTTTGTCGTCCTTGCCTGAGAGTAAAGCCAGGTCTCGTCCTCTGATGGCCGTCGGAGGCTTCTAGCGCCGTCAGTCCTATTCCTTCTAATATCCAGGACTCTTCACCTCTCCAGGCACATGTCTAGGTAGGGTCCAAAGACACACCAACCAACGACCAACGATACAGCAGTGGTATTTAGCCCTGCAAGTGTCAGCCTCGCCCGTAGCATCCCGACGCCAGCTCTTTGTCGTTCTACATTATGCCTTTGACGTAAACCCCTTTTGCGCTGATGTAGTACTTAGACACAGGCATGAACACCTCGACCAAATCCATCTCGGGGAATCGGCCAAAATCGCTATCACCAGGGTCCAAGCTTGGGCTGAAACCCGGTATGCAGTGGTCAATCAAGTCAGACTATCATTCACATATCCGCCGTCATCTTAAGTCTTGACCACGGACAAGCCAACAATTGCCAGTCTCGTCGACCACTTTGACAAGCAGTTGGTCGAGCAGCATGACGACTTACCAAAGTTCGCCGCCTCAACCCGGGAACTGCTGTTTTGCTGATTCCTGAGGGAGTCAAACTAACGGACTAAGTATCTCTTAGTCTGCTCTTCCCTTCTGCGGTGAGGTGAGGCGAAGCCACATGCACTTGACACCAAGACGCCCTAGGTACAGTCATGCTTCTATTCCACTGATTCAGGACTCTTGCGGTCAAGATTACCGGGACCAGCACTGCAGAAAACAACCTCTCGATAACGATACGTTGCCCTGCGCAATCCTCTGGTGCGTGCTGAATCTGGCAAGTCTTAGCCTGCACAAGCTCCAAGCTATCCCTCCACACTCTGCGACCATTCGTGCATATGCGCCCACAACGACAGGTACGTGGCGGAGAAGATGATTGTTGATCGGAACCATATCTCTGCCCGCCGTGTTGCGGTACCGAGATCCTTAACGCCGACCATACCTTGAGCTTGGCCCATGTGACCGAGAAGACCGTCTTCTTGCTCATACCAGTCATTAATTACCTGTTCTCTCAGCAGTCTCGGCGTTGCTATCTTCTTCGGGTATTTCTCACTCGTCCAGAAAGCTTTCAACCTTTCAACAAGAGGGATACGAAGGAGGCACGAACTAGAGAGAGAGCCGGTGTCCGGCTTTTGTTGTCATCCGTGTGTGTATCCGTAGGTACCTCGGGATGACGCCTTGGTGGATGCTGCTTGCGCCGCACCGCGAGGCGGTACAAACTTCATAGTCCTGGATCTAGGACTCAATCCCTGCCACCACACTTCACAGTGCCTCGCTGCCAGGGACTGTGCGTCGGGGCTGGACGCTCGGCTCCTGAGCCGCTGCGCGCCTGTGGGTTGACCGATGTGACATGCCACTGACTGACCGCGACTCTGAATGCTCATCAACGGCACTAAGAACAGCTTCCGCCAGCTGACGACCAAAATATCGAATACGGGAAGGGAGCAGCCGCACCATCTCCAGGAAGGAAACACAGCAAGACAGTCGAAAGGGTGTGCAGATGTCTCGGTCACCAACCACCTTGAAACTCTTGTCCAGCCTCGAGTCCCAAGATCTGGGAAAATAGGGGTCTAACGATCAACCAACATTTGGCACCGTCGCTGTACGTTCTTGTGACCATGCGTGCCATGTCTCCGACAGCGTTGGTTTGAATACTGAACGGCCAAGACTGTATCGACAGAGACCGGGGCGAATGATTTATTTCTTCACGTCAGAAGCAGCCATCTGCTGGCTCTATTGGCAGCTTTGGCCCAAGATTCCGCAAGCCACTCCGAGTCGTCATCCGCATCTTCCCTTTCCCATGGCTATTCTGGGACATGGCGCATGAGGGATCATCGTAGGTGCTGCATAATGGCATCGCTGGCCTTGGATGGGGCTCGGACGACGGTCATGGTCGCAGCGCAGTGCAGCCGCTTGATACAGGGAGACTGCAATAATTGATGACTTGCAAATCGTCCAGTGGCCTCCTCGTTTTCTCTTTCGTCAAGACCCGAGAAGCCGTGTGGTTATATTTTGTTGCCGGAGCAAGCGCCGGCAATGAACCTACATGCGCATCAGAACTTATCTCACCTTGCCAATGTCACCCAGGCGAGTCGCACTGGATAGCGGATACTTACCGCCATCTCCCCTGGGGCCGGGGGATGTGGGGTTTGTTCATTCATCCGTCCATTGCAAGCTTGGCACCGACACAATGGGATGGTCTCTTCGCTTCCCAGTTCCAGGGCAGCTGTCAGGTGGCCCCTGCGCTACGTTCCGGTCCGGCATCTCTGATTATCCGTGCCGCTCCCATAGACCCACCCAGACCCCGGTCCGTAGCTGCAGGGGCCGTTGAAGCTCCCGACCCGTCTGAAATTTCCAAATCGCCAATTCAAGGACGTCGACGACAGACCACCGCGGCTCCAGCTTCGCCGACGCCTCAATCCACCCCCGATCCCGCTACTCAACCGGACGCAAAACCCGACGACCTCGACGATTCGATCGACCAGGTTCCAACAAATCCAAAAACCCTTCCCAATTGGCCGGGAGCCATCCGCCAACGATGCAGAGAATCATCAAGCGCACGGTGCAGGCCGAGAAGCAGGTCGCCCGGCGCATGAAGAAGCGTGCTCGCGGCGAGGGCGGTGCTGAAAAGGCCCAGCGCTTCAGGGACCAGAAGAACATGCTCACGGAGCTGAACCAGGACATCAAGGCGGCCCGTCTCGCCCGTCAAGAGAAATGGGATCTCGGCCCCTTGGCCCCACGCCGCGATATGTTCGAGACCTACGGAGCCCTCCAGACGAATCGCCAGGGCCGGTCGACTCCGCTCAAGCCCGACGAGATTGAGGCACGGTGTGAATGGGCTGGAGGAGTCGAGTATCTCAACCTCGCCGTCAAGGACCGCGTGGTACTTCTCGAGGGCCCAGAAAAGGGCAAGATTGACCGTATTGCGAGTATCAATCTCGAGTACGGCACCGTTCAGTTGGAGGAGATTGGAAAGGTGAGGCTACAAGACCATATTCACTTCCGCCAGGACAACAAAGCAACGTTGGAGAGATGGGGGAAGAGAAGCTCAAAGCTAACCAATCGCCCATCAGGTCACCGTTCACGTCCCCGAATCATTCCAGAACCTCCTCGACGCCCCCACAACACAAAACGCAGCCATGAACATACCCATCTCCGCCATCCGCCTCGTTCACCCCATCGTCGACCCTGCAACCGGCGTAGCCCGCGACGTCGTCGTCCGCCAGCTCGCCCGCGGGCCCGTAAAGTGGTCCCGCACCACCGGCTGGCGCGCCTGGACCCGTTACATCCCCGGCGCCAACATCGCCATCCCCTGGCCCGAACGCGAGGCCGAGGTTCGCGAAGACCAGCCCGGCGACACCCTCCGCCTCGACGCCGAGGCCGCCACCTTCGTGCCCACGCTCCTCTCCCCGCCTATGCCTGCCTCCGTCATCGACGAGCTCCGCAAC